AATATGATCTGTGTCTCCCCCTTAGTTCAGATTCATTGCATTTACTGATAACTAACTTTGGCAAGGATGTAAGTTAGTAATCATTCCTCATTAGGAAGAGCCTCATTTCTAGGAGAAAGCCTGGGATCTGCTGACTTGACCTGGGGCTCTGTTGTTTCAAAGGTGGGTAGTCAATGGGAGGAAGGACTTTTCTAGCCTCAAATCACACAAATACACGTCAATGTCTTTCCCACTTATCTTGAAGATAGCGTCAAAGTCACCTTGTTTTCTTTGGCAATGCATGGAGCTAGGAGTTGCTGATAGTTCAATCTCTTCTTTATTTTACTGGTAAAGTGTTCAGGGAAGAAAAAAGATCATGTGGTGTTGCCCTCCCTTTCCTCTTTCTTCTCCATAAGAATACAGTTCATAGGAATCACCACCTATGGCCAAGTGTTTGGTAAACATGCAGTGTTTTCTGTGTTGGGATGCTGAAGCTCAAGGTTTCTAGGCTACCGTAAACTTTCTGTCACAAGAGACTTACAGTCCCTTTGGGAAAGTCTTGTGTATAATCAGCAGTAGTGTCTTTCCTAGGAAATACTAATTCTTAGTGGCGGTGGTAAGATTGGGTGGTAAGAGAGGAAACACTTAAGGTTAAGAATGTACCATGCCACTGATTGCCCAATACAAGTATGAAAGGGTGGACTAAGCCTGGGGCCTTAGAATTATTAGAAGTGGATAGAATTCTCTTTTCAATTTTCGTTGATGTGCATTGGTGATATACCTGCATATATATCCATCTGAGGGTGTTACAGACAGTTGTGAGCTTCCATGTGGGTGCTGGGAATTGAACCTGAGTCCTTTGTAAGAATCACCAGTGCTCTCAACTGCTGAGCCATCTCTCCAACCCCCGAGGATAGAGTTCTTTGTATCAGTAAGTAATTCCAGCACTTAGGAGGCTGTAGCCAGCCCGGACTGCATAATGAAATGCTGTCTTAGAATACAAGGGCTAGGGATGTAGCTCAGTTGTAGAGACTTCAAAGCATACAGAAAGGCAGAAAAGAACATACTGCAGGAGTAGCCTCATGCCTGCTGTCTACATGTAACTAACTGCATTTACCATATTTCCTTTATGCAGTTTGCATGTGGGTAATTTTAAATGAGGACTTCTTCAGAACGTTTTTACTTACAGTTAGAGAATGTCAAAGTAACTGATAAATGTTAGTTTTTAACAAGGGATTCAAGAAATCCCTCTCTTAATAAATTGCACCAGCTATGCAGTGCGGTACAGACAGGAAGTGGTGAGGATTAAAAAAAATTAATGCAGTGAATAAGGAAGTGCATTGTATGAACATACCAGTATTTATCAAGTACATGGCCATTTTGTGTTATGTTTCTGATATCTTGTATTGACTTCCAAATTTTAAGGTTTCCATGATTCCTTTTAAGTTTAATAATTTGTAATCAATCCATGTTAGAATTGGACAGAATTTTTTTGTGCCAAATATTGCTGACACACATCTTTCTTATCCAGAAATGGCGGTTTTTTTTTTTTTGTTTTTTTGTTTTTTTTGGTTTTTCGAGACAGTGTTTCTCTGTATTGTTTTGGAGGCTATCGGTCCAAGAAATGGCGTTTTTAAAGATATTTGCTGTCAACCAGTAGTTAAGCAAGTTTAAATCTTCCTACTGTTTAAACAAGGTATGCAAGCATCCTAAAGGTGTTTAGGTCAGTACGGCTTTCCCACTGTACCCCAGCTTAAGGTTAGTGTTATTGTCCTCTTTTAATACGTGTTTAAGGGAAAATGCTTTATCTTCCTTGTAAAACTTTCATCAGACAACACAGCTCATAACATCTAGCATTACAGTGTCTTTGCAGGAAAAGTGACGCGCTTCTCAGTTACTCAGCGCAGGCAAGCTCCAGTGTGTTCTCTTGCTGTTTCTTATGTTCATAGAAACAGTACACAGGTTTTCATTTGCAAACACAGCTAGTGGACCAACTGGAACAAACAACCAGGAGAAAATACCTGTTCTTACATTGATGAGAAATTCTGTAGTGCCCCTATCACGTTATGATACAGGGCTTTTCAGTGTGATGGAATCCTTTGCCCAGTTTTGCTTGACCCAGTTACTTAAGGTGCTGGGTACTCAATGGTCACCAAAGGTCAACCTGAGGTAGTGGCTCCATGTTGTCTTATGCCAATGAAAGTTAAGACTGTGAAGTCTTGTGAGAATATGCAAAGTGTAAACAAGCTTTAAGGAAAAGAGACTCCTGAGAGATGGAGGAGTTTCCAAGAGAGGAAAAAGCTACTGAACTCCTGTTTAGGGTTTTTGTAGGAAAACTGAACAAAGATGGAGGTCCTTGGGCTAACATGGCTGAACCAAGGGTAGGCCATGTTCTCTGTGCTCCCTTATTTCACCCAGTCAGGGAGATGATCATGCATTGTTTTTGTGCTGTCTGCCCAGTTAGGGGTGGTTGGAGCTGCCTTTGTCCATCTCTGACTAAGGCTTTGTTGTTTGTCATTGACCTTGACTTTCTGCTGTTAGTCACTTGGGTAACACCACGACTTCCAGCCTTGTATTTCACAGTTGTGAATTAGGCTGTTTTCTTTGTTCTCACATTCATATAACAAGGTGTGTGGCTCCTCCAGGGTAGAGAGTTGCCTCTCACAGCTGCCAGGATGTAGTTGCAGTTCTCTTGGTTACCTCATTTAGCTCCATTTCTAGAGGGGGTCTAAAGTGGTCTTTACTTAGAATTCTGTCTGTTACAGTTAGCTGCGTTAGAAATGAGAAAATAAGAAAGGACACTGTCTTAGTCGGGGCTTCTGTTGCTGTGATGAAGCTGGTGACCAAAAGCAAGTTGGGAGAAAAGGGTGTATTTGAGTTACATTTTTACATTATAGTCCATCACTGAAGGAAGTCAGGACAGGAACTCAAATAGGGCAGGAAGCTGGAGGCAGGAGCTGATGCAGAGGCCATGGAAAGGTGCTGCTTACTGATTTGCCCCCCATGGCTTGTTCAGCCTGCTATCTTTTAGAGCCTAGGACCACCAGCCCCCATCCATAGTGCCCCTCCCATCAATCACTAACTAAGAAAATTCCCTGCAGGCTTGTGTACAGCCAGATTTTATGAAGGCATTTTCTCAGTTGAGGCTCCCTTCTCTCCGATGACAATAGTTTCTGTCAAGTTGGCATAAAATAGCCAGCGTAGACACTTGTGCCTTATTCTGTGTTCCTCAAGGGCTTGTGGTGGTCACCTGACCAAACTGTCTGTGGCCCAGAGCCCTGCCCCACCTCTTACCTGGTCAGCTTTGTTATCTCATACTTAACTCCCAGCCCTCTTATTTATCACTTCAGTGTGTCACACTCTGCGTTGTAACTCAGTCGTCTTTCCACCCCCCCCCTTCTCTATGCAGCATATGTGAGCAACTTGCAGTTTTCACTATGAGCTGATTTCCTTACTACCTACTGATGGACAGTTAGCTCCTAATGTATGGGGGTACTCATTTAAACAAAACGAAACAAAACCTGTATGTTTGTATAACAGCTTGTAAACCTAAGTAGAATTATCTAAGAAAGCATACCATCGTCTAATTAATGATTGTGTGCATGTGTAGAGAGAGGTGGGGAGGGAGGAGGTGACGTTTTGGTTAGGTGTCTGTGGAATTGTTTCACATGAGAGCCTTGAGAGAGCTAGCTTGTTCCTGGGAGTGTTTACCTACGATGGGAAGGGACTCTGGGCCAGAGAAGATGGCTGTTGCTCTCATTTGTCACGTTTACTTCTGTCAGGGTGCTCTCTCGTCTTCTCTTAGATCTGTATCTATTGCTAATTCTTCTCTTGTGCATTTTAAAAGTGCCCACCATATCTCATAATACCCTTGTCACCAATTTAACAACCATACCTTTATAGTATTAACAAAATTGATGTGCCTTTAAAAAAACTGTAAAATGTTCTGTACCAAAATGAATCTTAAAGATTTAATATGAGAATCTCATCTTAGATCTGACAAAAATAATTGACTTTCAATAGCATTGTCTATGAAGTTGAAATGAAGACGTTCTCAGATGCAGTAAGAGAGTAGATGAAGGTGCAGACAAAGGCACTTACCATCTCATGAGTTCTGGAGGGAGGCTGGCTCGTTCACTAGCCCACCTGTCAGGGTTCTGAGCCATTTTCTTTCTGGTCACCATGAGCATAGGCTATCCATCAACATCACGCCCAAGCATCATCTTACACAAAAGTGGGAAAGAGGAACGGGGCCTTCTCTGCCACATACTTTCATCCAGTTCCAGTGGACCTCCCCTGCCTTAAACCCTTGAGTTAGATAGAACTGGTCAGTGTCTGATAAGAAGAGAGATCCCATGATTGGCTGAGTATATGGTGAGCTTGTCCCTGCAATAGGAGTGTGGTCCAACTATCCCAACTTAGCTATATTGAGTGTTAAATAGTTGCTATGCATTATTGTCAAGATGGGTGGGTGATAATAGTATTGTCAAATTAGTGTGAGGACGTTTGTGACTACCTCGTCACAGGTATTTCTGTGGAAAAGTACGTTTTTGTACGTTGTCCCTTAAAATGGAAGCAGAGTCATTTGAGAATTGTGTGGCTCTGAAAGTGCTGTTACTGATTGACGCAGGAAGCCACACTTGGCTCTTAATCAATAAACTGCTTACTGTACTTATTTTTGTCTTAAACATTGTCCTTGACTCTTTTCCTCTGCTACAAATGATGTGTGTGTGAGTACATGTGTGAGTGTGTGTGAGTATGTGTGTGCACATATGTGTGAGTGTATGTGTAATTTCAATTACTTTTTTTGTTTTTGTATTTTCTCAGTATGTAGCCCAGACTGTCCTGGAACTCACTCTGTAGACCAGGCTGGCCTTGAACTGACAGAGATATGCTTGCCTCTGCCCCTAGAGTGCTGGGATTAAAGTGTGCACCACTGTGCCCGGTAGAAATGATAGTTTAGTATACAACTTTGATGGTAGTCTCTGATTGTTTTAAATTAATTGGGCTTCCTCTTGTAGGTGGATTCTCCACTGTTTTCCTGGTGCGGACTCACGGTGGGATCCGATGTGCACTGAAGCGAATGTATGTCAATAACACACCTGACCTCAACATTTGTAAAAGGGAAATCACAATTATGGTAAGTGAGAGAAAATTTTGTTTTAGAAATTGGTTGCTTTTCTTTTGGTTTTATACTACAGCATTGATAGGTTTTTAAGCAAGTTTATGTATCAGTTTATCCACACTTGAAAAGTCATGCAGTTAATTTATTGTGTTGTAATTGGCAGTTCGTTGCACATGGCCACACTTGGGACTGAATGCAGTGGTCGCCCTCTCCTCTCCCGCAGTGTGTAGGCTCCCAGGCAGTGTGCCCTTCCTTCCTTTCAAACTCGTTGTTATTGAGGAGTATCGGGAGGAGAGAGCACCTACAGAACTACACAGTAAACACCAGGCTTATCTCTCTGACAGTAGGAAATACAGTCTTACAGATGCCTTGAAGCCTTCTCCCTTTCCTGCCCCATTGTGTCTAGGCACTGTTTGCTCATGCAGAAAGAGACTTCCATCTTAAGAGTGGCGTCTGGAGTTGTAGTCCACACTCTACATTCGTCTCATGTCTATGACCACAAATAGTAGTTTGTTTTTCACCTCACAGTCCTGCTGTGTGTTCCCCGCTTTCCCTGTGGACTCTGTGTTGTAGGGCCAGTTGTCCTTGAGGAAGGGAAGTATGAGTCAGTACTAGGTAGAGAGAAAGCTGATGGTAGAGACATCGGTGAGTGAGTACACAGTACAGCACGATTGTGAAGTGCCGCTTCCTCCTGTAAGTAGAGCTCTCTGTGACTTGTGGCCCTCACGTCTGTCTCTTCCCTTTCCCCTTCAGTTTTCACTTCATACACCTGCATGCATGTGCGTGTGTCTTTTTAGTTCTACTTCAGATAATAGAAAATTAATTTAGTTAGCACATTCATAATACTGACTGTATAATCACTACTTCTATCTAGTTTCAAAGCCTTTTCATCACCCCTAAAAACCGTACCCACTTTACTCTTAATGCCGTTTTCTCTTTGTTTAGCTCCTAGCAAGCACCCTTCTCACTATTTGTCAACTTCTATTCTAGTGTTTCCTATAAATGGATTGTATAGTGGTTTTTCCCTTTTACTTCCCCAATGCCTTTGAGGTTCATGGACATGATAGTGTTCATCAGTATTTAATTTTCTTTCTGTCACCAAATGATATCCTGTCATCACCACACTTTTATCTATTCGTGGAGTAAAACCTATAGATATTTGGGCTGTTTCTGCATCTTTGGCTTCTGTGACTAGCTACAGCACAGTCCAAATAACCAACAATATGTGCTATGTATGTGTGTTTATGTCCTTAAGCCCTCATTTTTTCTTCTTTGGTTACATACCTAGGTTCTTTTTAAAAATTTTTGAGGAAGAGCCAGCATGTTGTGCAGCAGCTGTAATTAATTCCAGCCCTACATATCTTACTGCTAAGGGGGATGTTTCACTTTATGTCAACGTCTTTACCAACACTTACAAAATAAGTGTAGTTATGTGATCTGAATTTTTGAATTTCAGTTCTTTTTATTCCTTAGCTAGTTTAGAGATGCTTTGAGACACTTTAAAGGTAAAGATATTAGCCAAAAAGTTGAAAAAGAATTCTTGAAGATAATGGCTAAGTCTAGACTGAATTGTTTAACTTGAGCCTAGATGATGCACTATTCTGCTGTAATCTTCCGGTTGGTAGAATTTCTTTAGTTATGAGACATAATGACAGCAGCAGTCAGCTCCTCTGCCTTTGTAGAGAGACTGTGGCTTTGGAGTGGTAATGGTCTTTAACTTTTTTTTTTAGGTGACCCATCTTCCAAGGTATGCTTTATCATGGTTTGCATATGGTAGTTCTGACCACAGACTACTTTGCACAGTTGAAACTGGGTATATTTTTAATGACAGTAGTTGTAAATTCATTTAAAATAATTGTGTGCTATCTGTTCCCCCTTCCTGGATCATCACCTATGCTAAGCAGCACTTAACATTGAGCTGTTTCCAGCCCCATTTGTAGCCTCATTCTATGCCCATGGTGATTTTGTACAAGGAGGAAAAAGTTCTTAGATTTTCCATTTTGTTACTTCCTTGAACAAATCATTAGTGCTATCTTTAATCTACGAGTTCTTTCTCACAAATGTTTTCTGGCCACTTGTTCCTCTTTTAGTGAAAAGTATGTGTGCCCATGAGTCTATGGAAGAGTTCTACTATGTTTAAGAAAAAACATTACATTAGTGCTTAATTCCTTTAATTTTTTTAGATAGATATAATTAGAGTTCTAATACTTTTTTCTTGAACTTCAGAGGACTGTATCATACACTTTTGGTAGACTATTTTTTAAACGTTATCTGTCTATCTATATATCTATCTGTCATCTAATAGTTTTTTTCAGACAAGGCTTCTTTGTGTAACAGCTCTGGCTGTCCTGGAACTCATTTTGTAGACCAGGCTGGCCTCAAACTCACAGAGATCCACCTGCCTCTGCCTCCTGAGTCTTGGGGTAAAGATGTGAGCCATCACTGCCTAGCTTATATTTATCTATTTGTGTGGGTATGTTGGGGGTCGCATGGGTTGAGGTCAGGGCAATTTCAGGGTTTGGTTTTCTCCTTCCACCAGGTTGGTCCCAGGTATTGTACTCAGGTCCTCAGACTTAGTGATAAGTGTGTTTATGGGCTGAGCTGTGTTGCTAGCCCTTGGTAGCTTGTGGTGGAACTTATAAACAAATGGTCATTGATTGTTTATCTTAGATAATGACCGTCACATATACATTGAAATTTCCAATGCCAGCTTCACCATAGAAACCACTGGCTGAGCTACAGTATCCTCATGCCTTATTCTTACTTTTAGGAACTTATTAAATTCACTTAGGAACTTATTAAATCCACCTAATTCAGGCTTATAGCCTTTGCTATAGAGTTTAGGGTTTATATTTCCTAGTTTTAAATATCTTATTTCTTTTTCACAGAAAGAACTATCTGGCCACAAAAATATTGTTGGTTATTTGGACTGTGCTGTCAATTCAATTAGTGATAATGTGTGGGAAGTGCTTATCTTAATGGAATATTGTCGAGGTAAGTATCTGTCTTCATTTATGGTATACTAGAAAGAGACCCCTTTTCATAGAGTACTAGGTTATATGGTTTCTCCCAGGGCAGCTGCTACCTGTTCTGGATGCTTTACTGCAATTCCAGCTCTAATAACTTAATTACAGATGCTGTTAAAACTTATTCAAAACCTAATCATAATTAATAGTATGACAGGAGCCTGCAAATGGAGAGTTAAACAAAATGAGAATGGGGTTCAAAATAAGAAATCTAAGCTAGTGAAGTTATACTTCTTGATGTCTGTGTAATTCTTTTGTAATCAAACCAAGAATTAATGTTGTAAGATGTACTGTGAATAAGCTAAATTTATCAGACTTAGGCAAAACATGCTAGTTTTTTAGTGTGAGTGTCCAGGTATGTAGTGCCTGTAAGAGATTTTAAAAATATTTTTTATTTATTTGCACGCGCGTTTCAGTTTGTGAATGAGGGCACACACAGAGAAGATTTGAGTATGTGCTTAGGCTTGTGAATGAGGACACACACAGACAAGATGTGAGTGTGTGCTTGGGTTCGTGAATGAGGGCACACACACATATAACAGTGTGCATGTGGAGGTCACAGGGTCACTTGTGAGGGTGAGTCTCTCCTCCACCTGTGGGTCCTGGGGGTCACACTCAGATTGTAAGCTTGGTGGCCAGTGCCTTACCCACCGAGCAGTCCTGCTGGCAGTATGTTGGGATTTTGAGACAGGGTGTATCAATAGGATTGACTCTGCCTCTCCAGCATTGTTAGAGTACCCGCTACCACACCTGCTTTTCTACTTGTGCTCTGGGGGCCCAGTTAAGGTCCTCCCTCTCCCCCCCTCTATCTATTCATTTATCTGTTTATTTATTTATCTATTTATTTATTTAAATTAGAAACAAGCTTGCTTCACATGTCAATCCCAGCTCCCTCTGCCTTTTCCCCTCTCCCTAACCCTCCCAACCCCTATCCAATCCCTACTCCACTCTTCAGGGAGGTGAAGTCCTTCATGGGTGATCTCCAAAGTCTGTCATATCATCTGGAGTAGGGCCTAGACCTTCCCCCATGTTTCCAGGCTGAGAAAGCATCCCTCCATGTGGAATGGGCTCCCAAAGTCCATTTGGATGCCAGGGATAAATACTGATCTAGTACCCTAGGCTCCTCACTGACACCCACATTCAGGGGGTCTGGATAAGTCCCATGCTGGCCTCTCAGCCATCACTCTGGGGTCCATGAGCTCCCCCTTGTTCAGGTCAGCTGTTTCTGTGGGTTTCACCTGCCCACTCATAACCCCTTAGCTCATCACTCCTCCCTCTCTGCAACTGGTTTCCAGGAGTTCAGTTCAGTGTTTAGGTGTGGGTGTCTGCCTCTGTTTCTATCAGCCACTGATGAAGGCTCTAGGATGGCATACAAGGTAGTCGTCAGTTTCATTATTGGGGAAAGGCATTTAAGGTAGCCTCTCCACTATTGCTCAGATTGCCAGTTGGTGTCATCCTTGTAGATCTTTGGAAATCTCACTAATGTCAGATCTCTCCTCAAACCTATAATGACTCCCTCTATTATGGTATCTCTCATCCTGCTCTTCTCTATTCTTCCCCAGACTCAACCTTCCTGCTATCCCATGTCCTCCTCTCCTTTCTGATCTCCCCCTCACTTTTCCCCAGCTCCCACTCCCCCCATGCTCCTAGTCCACTCAGGAGATCCTGTCCCATTCCCCTTCTCTGGGGTACCATGCATATCTCTCTTAGGGTCCTCCCTGTTTCCTGGGCTCTCTGGCAGTGGGATTGTAGGCAGGCACTCCCCTGCTTCATGTCTAAAATCCATATATGAGTGAGTACATACCATGTTTGTCTTTTTGTTACTGGGTTACCTCAATCAGGATGGTTTCTTCTAGTGCTATCCATTTGCCTTCGAATTTCAAGATTCCATTGTTTTTTGGCTGAGTAAGTACTCCATTGTGTAAATGTACCACATTTTCTTTATCCTCTCTTCAGTTGAGGGGCATCTAGGTTGCTTCCAGGTTCTGGCTATTACAAACAATGCTGCTATGAACATAGTGGAACAGATGTCCTTGTTGTATAAATGTGCATCTTTTTGGTATATGGCTAGGAGTGGAATTGCTGAATCTTGTGGTAGAATGATTCCCATTTTCCAGAGGAATCTCCATACTGATTTCCAAAGTGGCTGTATGACTCGGGACTCCCACAAGCAGTGGAGGAGTGTTCCCCTTTCTCCACGTCCTCTCCAGCATAAACTGTCATTGGTGTTCTTGATTTTAGCCATTCTGAAAGAAGTGAGATGGTATCTCAGAGTTGTTTTGATTTGCATTTCCCTGATGGCTAAGGATGTTAAGCACTTTCTTAAGTGTCTCTCAGCCATTTCAAATTCCTCTATTAAGAATTCTCTATTTAGTTCTGTACCCCACCTTTTAATTGGATCCTTTGGTATTTTGGAGACTTGCTTCTTGAGTTCTTTGTAAATTTTGGAGATCAGTCCTCTGTCAGATGTGGGGTTAGTTAATATCTTTTCCCATTTTGTGGGCTGCCTTTTTGTCTTGTTGACTGTGTCCTTTGCCTTACAGAAGCTTTTCAGCTTCAGAAGGTCCTATTTATTAATTGTCAATCTCAGTGTCTGTGCTACTGGTATTATGTTCAGGAAATGGTCTCCTGTACCAATTCGTTCAAGGGTACCTCCCACTTTATCTTCTAAGAGTTTCAGTGTGCTTGGATTTGTGTTGAGGTCTTTGATCCATTTGGACTTAAGTTTTGCACATGGTGATAGACATGGATCTGTCTGCAGTCTTCTACACGCCAGCATCCAGTTATGACAGCACCATTTGTGGAAGATACTTTCTTTTTTTCCATTGTATAATTTTAGCTGAATCCAAGAACACATCAGAAAAATCATCCACCATGATCAAGTAGGCTTCATCCTAGGGATGGTTCAACATACGAAAATCTATCAGTGTAATCCACCATATAAACAAACTGCAAAAGAGAAACCACATGATCATCTCACTAGATGCTGAAAAAGCCTTTGACAAAATCCAACACCCCATCATGATAAAGATCCTGGATAGATCAGGGATATCAGGAATATATCTGAACATAATAAAAACAATGTACAGTAAACCAACAGCCAACATCAAACTAAATGGAGAGAAACTCAACACAATTCCTCTAAAATCAAAAACAAGACAAGGCTGTTCACACTTTCCATATCTCTTCAAAATTGTACTTGAAGTTCTAGCTAGAGCAATAAGACAACAAATGTTGATCAAGGGGGGATACAAATTGGAAAGGAGGAAGCCAAGCTTTCACTATTTGCAGATAATATGATAGTTTACATAAGTGACCCAAAAAACTCTACACAAGAACTACAGCTGATAAACACGTTCAGCAGAGTGGCAGGATACAAGATCAACTCAAGAAAATCAGTAGCCCTATTATATACAGATGATAAATGGGTTGAGAAAGAAATCAGAGAAACATTACCCTTTACAATAGCCACAAACAACATAAAATATATTGGGATAACACTAACCAAACAAGTGAAAGACCTGTATAGAAAGAGTCTTTAAAGAATGAAATTAAAGAGGATACCAGAAAATGGGAAGATCTCCCATGCTCTTGGATAGGTAGGATCAAGGTAGTAAAAATGGCAATCTTGCCAAAAGCAATTTACAGATTCAGTGCAATCTCCATCAAAATCCTGGCACAATTATTCCCAGACCTTGAAAGAACAATTCTCAACTTTATATGGAAAAACAAAAGACCTAGGATAGCCAAAATAACCCTGTACAGCAAAGGAACTTCTGGAGGCATCACCATTCCTGACTTCAAGCTCTATTATAGAGCTATAGTCCTGAAAGCAGCTTGGTATTGGTACAAAAATAGACAGGTAGACCAATGAAATTGAATTGAAAACCCACACACTTAGGAACACTTGATTTTTAACAAAGAGTTTCTCACTCTTGCATGGCAACACTTTCCCAGCTGAACTGTTTCTTCAGTTGCTAAACAGTTTTCTCTTTTTGAGACAGGATTTCATATAGCCCGGGCTATCTGAGAACTCCCGATTCTCCTTTCAAGTTAGAGAGCCTGATTTTTTTTAAAAAAGTGATTTATTTTATTTTATATCCATTAGTGTTTTGTCTGCATATATGTCTGTATAAGGGTGTTGAATTCCTTGGAGTTGGAGTTACAGACAGTTGTGAATTGTTATGTGGGTACTGGGAATTGAACCCAGGTCCTCTTGATGAGCAACAAGTGCTCTCAGCTACTGGGTCATTCTCCAGCCCCATAGGACCTGCTTTTCAACACATAATCTTCAAGTTTTTAAAAATTCATTTTTGTCAGAAAATAGGAAATCACGTTTATTTAGATCTAACATGGTATTTAAAAATAAATGTTTACTTGACTAGCATGCATGCCTGAATAGTAATAATAAATACAAACTATCCCTGATTTGTAAGGTTCTTAATCTGTCAGGAGGAGGGCACTTAGTCCATTTTCTACCAATCAGTGTATTTTACTTGACTTTTTAAAAAAGAAATGTATATCTTGTCCTTGAGTTGTTAAGGTTTGTTTCATAGCAATTTTTAAATCAAAAGTGATTCATGTTGGGCCGGGGAGATAGCTTACTGGTTAAGAACACTGATTGCACCTGCAGAGGACCTGGGTTCTGTTCTTAGCACCCGTGTGGTGGTTCACAGCTTCCTGTGGTTGCAGTTTTAGGGCCCTAACACCCTCTTAGGGCTTCCACAGGCATCAGCATACATGTGGTACACATGTACACCTGAAGTCAAACACTCATAAAAGTAAATCTTAAAAAGAAAGAAAAGTGATTTGTGTGTATGGCTCAAAAAACCCAGTAGATGGCATGGTGGCACTTCCTTCAATATCAGCATTAAGAAGACAGAGGCAGGTGGATCTTTGTGAGTTTGAGGCCAGCCTGGTGATCTATATAGGGAGTTCTAGGCCAGCCAGTGCTGTGTGAGAGACTGTCTCAAAACGAACCAAACAGCAGGGGCAGCAGAAGCCCAATAGTGTAAGTTGTGGCTGATTGGCAGCCGTTGACTCCCTGTGTCCCCTGAGAGTCAGTTTAAGATGCATGAGATGTTGTTCTCAGAGTGTCCTCCCTGTTTCTCGGTTGTCTTGTAAATGGGAGTTGGTGTTCTTAGTGAGCATGTAGAGGCATGAAGTGAAGGGACTCAGCTAGCCAGTGTGGGGTGGATCCTGGCAGAGCAGGCTCTTGTGAGAAACTTTGTTGCCAGTGCTCTTTGAGGTTCTGTTGTCAGTGTCTCCAAGGCAAGATGAGATTTACTCCCAGGGTTGTGTGTTTAACTTTTGGACCAAGTCTGTTTTTTCATTGTGTTGTTTACCATTCAGGGGTGACATGCAATAGTGTAGAATCACTTTTTCTTTCTTGTACAATAAGATTTTCCTGCAGGTAATAATTGCCCAATTTTTCACTTGCCTAATTTCTTCAGGCATGTTATTATTTTAGACTGTATTCCTCAGTTGAAATTCAAGTCCCTGTGTGGGAAGCTTAAACATGATAGGACTTGTGTAAGTTTCATTTTTCTCCCTCTTGGAGGCACTCTTCAGCGAGACTTAGGGCCACCTGTCTGATTTTAAACAGGATTTAGAAGTCATTTGGGAATTGCACATTTCCTTCTCTCTTAGAGTCCTAACTGCTTATTCCCTCTACCACTTGTTAGGTGTGGGTGAGAACGCAGGGCTGGATTATGCCTCTCAAGTGTGCCCCCTCTCAGCTGCGTCTCCACCCTCTTTAACTTTTTATAATGAATTTATGGGTGGAAACATTTCTGAGATCTTCAGCTTGTACATTTATATTTTCCCTTTCATGTACTGCTACTTTCTGAGGTCAGATGAATCTGATTGGGCACACTGGGGCAGGGGAGTGATCATAGACAAACATGTGTATATTCTGTGCCCACATTTGATTGTTAATTTGCTCAGAAAAAAGATTTTGGGATAGAAGTAATACCGATGCAGACACTGCATTGTGTCCTTTTTCTGTCTACTAGTATGATAGATAGTTCATTTGTTTATGTGATCCATTTTCTGCATAGACACTACCCAGGAGCTTTTCACCTATCTTGAGTGTATTAAAATCTTACAATATGTATGATTCATTTGTGTCAGTTTAGTATTTTCTTTCTTTTTTTTTTTTTTGAGACAGGGTTTTCCTGTGTAACCCTGGCTTCCCTGGAACCTGCTTCGTAGACCAGGCTGGGTTTCAAACTGAGATTGGCCTGCCTGTACTGGGATTAAAGGCATGCGCCACCTCCTGGCTAGGTTTTGTAAGACACCCAGCTTTTTCTGTTGTATGTTTGTGTTCTTTTTGTTTGAAATGGATGTTTGTTTTCTTGTGATTGTTCTTCTGTTTATCTTTTCATTTTTTCCTTTTAATTTCTGCTTTTGTTGGAAGCTTCCTTAAGCGTATATGAAGGTTTTCTATAGAGTTTTGTAATTTTGCTATGTTATTTTAATTTTTAGCAATCCTTTCTTATTTTTTTCTTTAAAATACCTGTTGCTCTTGTTTTAGGTATAAATCTTTGTTTATGTTAATTAAACGTTTAAAGCAGTTTTTCTTTATTCTAACTTCCCCCGATTCTTCTGCTTTGTTACTCTGTCTTCTCTTTTGTGAGAGAACAGAATGTATCCTCTGGATTGGCAATTTTATCTTAGGAGAAAGGCTGCAGAGGCCTGGGCTGAATACCCCTTTTCTCATATGAATCAAGTAGATACATTCTGTTTCTCCCGGGCAGAGGAGTGTTTTGGAGGAACAGAGAGTGGGAGAAGGAATTCTCTGCTCTTATTTTTTTTGTAGAAGCCTCTTGCATGTTAGGACGAGGAAACGTGCACAGTCCGCACATGGACTGTGTAGGGAGAGCTCTCACTGGAAACCAGCTAACGTTACAGTCCGCACATTGACTGTGTAGGGGGAGCCCTCGCTGGAAACCAGCTAACGTCACAGTCCGCACATGGATTGTGTAGGGAGAGCCCTCAGTGGAAACCAGCTAACGTCACAGTCCGCACATTGACTGTGTAGGGAGAGCCCTCACTGGAAACTGGAAGGATGCACCATCACTTGCTCCATGCTTCCGGGGTTCTCAGGGTTTACTGCCATTTTCTGTGCCGTGCAGTCAGTCGCATTTTACCTGGAAATTCATGTTTTGCTGTTACTTAACTTGCTAGTTTTGTGATGTATCACTTAAAAGAATGGTTCTCAACTTGTGGGTCATAACTCCCTTGGGTGTTGGACAACTCTCTCACAAGGGTCGTATTTACATAGTAGATATTTACTTTATGATTCATAAAAGTAACAACATTACAGTTATGAAGTAGCAATGAAAATAATTTTATGGTTGGGGGGGTCACCACAACAAGAAGAACTGTATTAAAGGGTCGCAGCATTAGGAAGGTTGAAACACTGAATGGAATTAGAATTTTGGATATCAGTATGGTTATTTGGAATATATTTCTATTGTTTTATGAATGACTTATGAACATTTATGGCAATTTGTGACTTTCTAAGTTTGTTTTAGAGGCTGCTTTGTATTAATTCCCATAAGTTGTATCTCTGTTAGCTTTTGCTCTACAGTAAAACACTTGAAAATTGGGTAGCATAAAGCAGCTTGTGGGTCGGTCCATCAGCTGCTGTGGACTGAGCCTGGCGGGTGGCACTGCTGACTTGTTAATTGTGACTGACTAGTTGGAGTAGTTTACTTCACCTCTTTCATGCTCTTGTCTCTAGTAGGCTCTTCTGGGGTAGATTTTCTTATGGAGACAGAAGGAGCAGAGGCTGCAGAAGCACCTGAGCTCTTCCCAGTGGAGCCCCTTCTCACTTGGATGTAAACACTAACATGCGTGTAGTCACGTGCGCACACACATCCCCCCACACACCAGGGATAGTTGCAAGAGCATGGTTGGGGATTATTTGCTCTGGCATGGGGAGCTGACCATTGAGTGCCACTGAGGAACATGACCCCCTCTCCCAGCAGTCATCACCTGCCAGTAGCTGCTGAGGGAGGCCTGGGGCCTCATGAGCCCCTGTTCTGTTTGTGAGTGCTGGCTGACTTGGTCTTGTACAGGTAAGGCATTCACAGCTGCTGTGCATTCGTGAGTGCAGTAGCCATGCTATTCCTGGAAGGTTATAGCACTGCTGCCCTCCCCCAGCTCTAAATTCCCTGTCTTCTTTTCCATGATGCTCCTTAGGCTTTGGAGGCAGGGGTGTGTGTGTGTGTGTGTGTGTGTGTGTGTCTGTGTCTGTCTGTCTGTCTGTCTGTCTGTCTGTCTGTCTGTGTCTGTGTCTGTGTCTGTCTGTGGTATGTGTGTAAGAGAGGTGAGTAGGGGTGCTATTTATGACTGAGCATTCAACAGGCACATGTTCTGGAAGCTTTATAGTTAGGAGTCTGCATTAGCTACTGCCATTGAAAGAAAAAGGAGCTTCTCTGAGCAAGGCTGAGAAGGGCATTGTCTTTGGGTATAAGCCTAAATGTTTAGAAGGCAGTTTGACAGCATGTCTACATAGTAACAAACCCCCTTCACCCATGTCTGTTGTCTCCCCAGCCATGTGCTTTTGATTAGGTCTATAGTATCAGGAATATGGTTGGTGTGTCAGCTCATGCTGGTAGGATATGCTGAAGAGGCTGAGGTGAGCAGGAGCATGAGTTTGAGTTTAGTCTGGCAGTAGCACGAGTCCCTCCTGTGGAGCAGGCCTCAGATCCAGTCAGAAAGCAGCCACCTTTAACAGCAATGCTGCCGGATCTTATCTGGCAGGTCTGCGGTGCGCATAGTCCGCAGCTGGGCAAGGTTATTGATTTTTTTTTTCCCAGTTCTGTTATTTGTTACCAGGAGTAAAGCATTAGTGACTTTACCCATCAGATTCCCTTATCCTATAATCAAAGCAATATTTTAAAGAGTTAGATCCATAGTTCTCTTTGGCTGGCTTTCAAGAAAAAGAGTGAGATGCAGCTACCAGTATGAGGCTTGCATCAGGTCCATCTCGTCTTTCTGTGCTCCTCAGCCATGCTGGCACTGTCTCTTTAACAGTTATTTGCTGTCAGCAAATTCCTACCTACAGGAGATGCTTGTGTACACATTATTACCCACACCGTCTCCTAAATCTTTGCCTCGTTAATCTGTAATCATTCTTTCAACAGGAGTCTCACTTACATAAGCCTAAGTTGATCTCTTCTCCTTTCTTCCCATCCTTTCCCCAATCTAAGTTCCTTCAATTATAGTCACGTATCTGTGTCTTTATCTTTAGCCTTGTGCCACTGTATTCCATGATAATAGAAACCTTATTTTGTTTACCACACTTTGCCCAGTACAAAAGTGTTGAATGACTATTGTTTCAAAGGAATATATCGTTAATCACCGGGAAAAACTGCAATTTCAGAAGTGGTTAAATGTTAGAAAAATGGCAAATAGTATTAGCAAGATACTGTCTTTTTTCAGTGTTCTGATCTCCGACATGTGAAATGTGAGAAAGTGTGTCACTTCTCAGTGCAGCAGGTGGAAGACCCCTCGTGAGGGTTCAGAGTAGCTGAAAGGGTGTTTCTGCGTCTTTCTGGTGGACTTCATGGCATGCGTCCTCAGAGTTGCTTCTTTGCTTAGCTGGGCAGGTGGTGAATCAAATGAATAAGAAGCTGCAGACGGGCTTTACTGAATCCGAAGTCTTACAGATCTTCTGTGATACCTGTGAAGCTGTTGCAAGGTTGCATCAGTGTAAGACTCCCATCATCCACCGAGATCTGAAGGTAAGAACCGTGCAACACTCTTGTTCTGAACTTAGCATTTAAAATGTCTCTTCCTTTCTCTCCTTGCCCCTGTCCCCTCCCCAAGATCCTGCTGCCTAGTGTGTATTGTGTGCTGTTCCCGCTAGGAGGTGAGGCTCACGAGGCCTTTGCTGTTGGTTGGATTATGGGTGTGATCTGTCCAAGCTCTTAGAACAGTGCGGGATATATAGCAGAGGCTCTTTGGTTGTTTAGTAATAAACAAGTGAATGATTGTTTTGATTAAATACAGTTTTATATCTTCTGGTAAAAAAAATGTAGAATGTAGGTTGTTGATAATCATGAGAGCTTAGGCTTTATTAGCTTTTTAGTAATAGAAATAAATATAAAACCAAAAGACATTGCCATAATAATAACAATTTTTGTCCTTAATATAATACAGTCCATGTTCTGAATACCTTGAGTGTTCTAACCTGTTATGTAGTAATTATTATCTTCCCTGCTTTCTGGGTAAGATGACTAGAGAGGGGAGTGCTTAAGCAATTTGTTCAACAATATAAACACTGGTGAACAGCAGAGAGGGCTTTCTCTGAACCTATCCTGGAGTATTCACAATTTGTTTGAGTTATTTTAATTCTGATTTCCAAGTTTAAAGTATGAATTTAAATTTGTATTTTCACTGTAGAAGTTTTAATAAAAATGGTGCTATAGGCTAAGCATCTCGATTCAGAAAATCCACATTTAAAAAGGCCCACTTTCTTAGATGTTTTGAGACTTGATATGGTGGCGCCATGAGTGTGAAATTATGTACCTGGTCACATGCTTCAGACTGCAATTAGAATATTGAATTTAATTATTGTCAGACTTAATGTATGTGGTGCATATGACATGTGAATTAGTTTGAGAGTTGTCTTGAATCTTGTCCCCAATATAAAAAATAATCCAAACCAGTGACACTTCTGGCCTCAAGCATTTTGCAATAGGCTTATAGATGTCAATCAGAAATGGAGTTAAAATGCTTCCATTACTTGTCTTCAGGTAGGCTGAAGTCTTTGGAATGGAGAAAAGTGTAGATATACTCAAAGAAGATCTTGACCGCCACTAGGTCTCCTTCATAGAGAGAATTTAGGACAATAAGGGTTGGTCATTTTTATTGTTAATCCTGGCCTCTTGCCTCAGCCTCTGGAGTTCTGGGATCCTCAGGAATTTTCAGTGCCTTCTCTGGTTCATTTGTCTCTGGTTTGAGGTGTCCTATGTCTGCATACACATATATGTATGTGTATATACATATGTACCAAGCATCTGATCAAAACAGATTTATAAAAAAAGGACAATGTTCACTTTGAAAATAGTAATCATTGATTTTCTTTTCTTAAGGTAGAAAATATTTTGCTAAATGATGCTGGAAATTATGTACTTTGTGACTTCGGCAGTGCCACTAATAAATTTCTTAATCCTCAAAAAGATGGAGTTAATATAGTAGAAGAAGAAATTAAAAAGTAAGTGCTTGTCTTTATTGCATTTTGTCTCAGGCATTTTGATTAACTTGAGACTATAACTAGCTGCATTAATACAGATTTTACATTATTCCATTTGTAGATTCCTTCAAAATGAAAATGATTAGTATATGAAAAGGCAGTCTAGCAGACAGTTGATGAGAACGATGAATGAAATTTTTTATGTGGCAAACAGATTAATAATGAAACTTGTAAAATAAGCTGTAGTAGCTACTAGATTCACTAAGAGAATTTTAAGCTGTGTAAAATAAAACTTATTTTTATATGAGTGTGACTGTTTTGTGTGTGTGTATCTGTGTACCACGCGTGTGTGTAGTGCCTGTGGAGGTCAGAAGATGGCGTTGGATCCCTTGAAACTGGGTTATGGAGAGTTGTGCTCAGAACGGAACCCTGGTCTTCTGCAATAGCAAGAAGTATCCTTAAACACTGAGTCACCTCTCCAGTCCCTTAAGTGATTGTGAGTTCAGCATAGTGTCGCAGTCTATACTGATACAGTGCAGTGGTGTTTCTGCAAAAATAAATTGCTCACAGCAGGTTAGCTGTTTTTGAGAGTGTGTATCATACATGCTGAAGATTGTGTGAAAGACATAAGTGCTAAGACTGTATGAAGTCTTACATCAGTGCTGTATTGCAAAGCTTTCTCAGAAAATGTCACACATGCTTGTGTTTCTTAGTCCAGTATTTCTTGTGGGAACCTAACCTTTCTGCTTTTTAGCTTCAGAAAATGCAGCAAACACAGGACAGCAATCTGTCAGGACAGGGATTCTCAGTATTCTCCTTAGCACTCCCTCATGGATTCCAGGGTTGGATGAGAAGCTGTTGAGAGAGAGATTGTAAAGCAGGGACATACACTGTGGACTGCATGCTTCTACTCAGGAAACAGCCTAGAATGATGGCATTCAATTCTATAACAAGAGTCAGATAGTAACATAAATGTCCTGGAGAACACAAGAGTATAAGCCTTACAAGTTGACTTTTTGGTATCCATGTACATCCATGTAATTAAAAAAATCTTGTGGATGTAGATTTCTAGTGACTGCTTGAGGTCTCAGTTTTCTACTCTGATAAACATTTAACTTGTTGCATCTTGGGATATAGTTAAGGCTCAGTTAAATTTTTATGATGATGTAAGCGCATTACGAGTTTGTATCCTTTGTGGCTGAATTGAAGAGTTGATGGATTGTCTAGTTGAGCTAACAAGTATTTACTCAGGGCCAATCCTGCCTTTGGTGCTGGGATACAGTGATGGAAGTTCTGCTATTATGCAGTTTGTTTTTTGGTCCCTCTATAGTAATACCATTCGGACAATCTCACCAGTAAGTGTAATTTGTATTAGAGTGTTATGATTTAAGATTCTTCTTGTAAAATAAAATATAAATACTGAAAAAGAATGTTGCTGTGCTAGAGGTGGTCCATTTATATTCTTATGATTTCTGCTATGAGATTCGAGCACTTACTTAATTAAAAGTTTCTGTTCCTAATAGATTTGGCTTTTGTTAGTGAATATTTATTTACAGTGTCTTTAATTCCAAAGAGCTTAGATTAGTAGTCATGTTAAAAGCATACATAATGTGTATAATTGAGTTGTAATAGTTAGATAACTTTTGGCCGGGTGGTGGTGGCGCATGCCTTTAATCCCAGCACTCGGGAGGCAGAGGCAGGCGGATCTCTGTGAGTTCGAGGCCAGGCTGGACCGATAGCCTCCAAAACAATACAGAGAAACCCTGTCTCGTAAAAACAAAACAAAACAAAAAAAAAAAAACCAAAAAAAAATAGATAACTTTTAAGAGAATTATAAAAACTCAACATTAACTACTGTGTGAACTAGGTATACTAACATTTCTAAAATAAACTTCTTAGGAAAGAGATAAATTAAAATTTTGAGAGTGCAGTTTTACTTTCAATAGTTGAAAATATCTGATAAGGAGGCTGTGATAGTTAGACTGAATTACTTCATATAAAGCAACAGAAATATTTCTAATAGGTTGTCTTTTAAGTTTTTATTAATAAAGGAAATTCAGCTTTTATATTATTTGAGATACTTTATAATTGCTGAATAAAATGTCTGTAGATACTGCATTTCACTTAATTCTTGATAGACTTCTAACAAGCCTTTAAAGACAGTGTTATTTCTGTATAGTTCTGAGACCAACGCCTTTTATGCTGCATCTTCTAGAGAAGCATGTCTCACCTGTCCTTGTTTCCCTCGTGCTGCCAGGTACACGACTCTGTCGTATCGAGCCCCGGAAATGATCAACCTTTATGGCGGGAGACCCATCACCACCAAGGCTGACATCTGGGTAAGGCTCGAGGGCTGACCTTTGCTCTAACTAGATGAGTCTCGGCTGAGCTGCCTTCGTGACTGTTGCCACCCTAGAGGCATCCTTCCCATGTCGAAAGGAGCTTCTTCTTCAGGAGACGAGTGCTGGCATGTTTAATCTTCTGAGTTAGGAGGGGCAATACTTGTGTTCAGGAAAGGGGGATACTTGCATGCTACCTAGATTTTAGGCTTTAGATCGCAAGTGAATGTTCACATTTTTAAGTTTTGAATGAATAGAATTAGAAAATCTGGATGTAACTGTTAGACAATTGCAGTATAACTTTCTGGATATCTTATGATCTTTTTTAAATGGGAACTAACAAAAGTAAACTTTTAAAAATTCTTTTATTGAAGGTCCTTATCATTTATTATATATTTATCTGGATTTAGTTATACTAATAGTGTTAATTTATATAAAAACTTGTTTAGAATCTCACATCTTTTTCAAACTTGCAAGTAAAATACATTTTGGATTGTATTTAGTAGTCTAAGAAACTATTGTATAATCTGAATGCATTAAACATTAATTATTAGTTGGATTTGCATGAACTTGTTATCAATAGAGAAATATAATTTTTTGAAATAATTCTAAAACTTACAAAAGAAGTGATATAGTTTTGATGTTTTTAACTAAAAGTTACATTTTTTTGTTTGTAAGGTTCCATGCATGTGTGTGGAGGTCAGGACAACTTTTAGAAGTTGATCTTCTCTTTATAACATATGGGTCTCAGGGATCTCATTCGGGCCTCCAGGCTTAGGAGCAAGGGCCTCCCTTCCCTGCCTGAGTCACCTTGCCAGCTTCATGTGTATAATGGGTGCAAACCAGTGACTGTCTCTTTTCTGGTTCCCCAACCTGCTCCCTCCTGGGATAGTCTTGCAAGACAATCAAATCTTTGAGATCTTCTTATCCGATTATTGTAATACCTGCTTTCTTATGTCACCCAGGACCACCAGCCCAGGGGTGGTCACCATCCACAGTGTGCTGCGCCCTCCTCCATCAATCATTAATTAAGAAAACACCTCCGTAGAGTTGCCCTCAGCATTCTGATAGAGGCCTCTTGTCTTATGTAGCTTGTGCCAAGTTGACAATACCAATGAGGACAGTATCAAAGTAGATAAGCCAGAGCAGCTTCTCTAACTGGTCACAGATGCAGCAGAGAAACACCAAACTATAAAGCTCAAGGCTTTTAAATACATGGAACATGGTAACTTGTAAGTAATATTGGATCCAAAATAGGAGTGTTCAACTTGTTTGTCTTAAATAGCATATTTAACGTTTGGTTTTCTTGTTCGTACAGCTGAAGATTGTGCTTAGTGCCTTGCATATGTTAAACAAATGCTCTACCTCTTAGCTCCATTCCCAGCCCTGGTCTTGGCTGTTTTTATGTTGTGTGGTTGATTGTTGACCCCTGACGATGTTCCTGTTTCTTTGTTTTACAGGCCCTGGGATGTTTACTGTACAAACTTTGTTTCTTCACTCTTCCTTTTGGTGAGAGTCAGGTTGCTATCTGTGATGGCAGCTTCACCATCCCAGACGGTTCTCGCTACTCCCACAACATACATTGTTTGATAAGTGAGTATTTGGAAAGATGCATTAACTATTTTTAAAGATACTGTAATTTTGGGCCTGCTGTTTATATTCTTTCTTAAATCTAGACTTAATTTCATATAATTTTATAAACTATGGTAAAATATTTAAAAATGGTTATTCATCTCTATAGAGGCCAAAAACAATCTAATTACCAATGAATACAAGAATATTTTTAACCTCCTAGATAAGAGTTAATAGCACATGGCAGCAATTACATAATTAAGACCATCAGAAATCTTGGGAACACACAACAACATTTAATTCTTGAATTTTTGTATCTTTGAAACCAAATATCCATGTGGTTAATAAGTAACCAGATTTCTTTCCAGCCTTTTTAAAGGCCTTTGCTTGCTTTTAAAACAATACTGTAATTTAACATTTTGTACCTGTCCATTGTAAAACTTGAGAAAGATTCTTTTCGGGGAGGAGACAGCCATTGGACAGTGGAGTGTCGTCTAGGCGACTGCAGAATTAAAGCAGCTCTAGCTAAAGTGCCTTTAGTGTCTCCACCGTTTTCTGCATTTTAATCACCCTCTTGTAGCCTCTGTGCCACAGAACAGTGTCAACTTAAATTTATCTGATAATCATATGATAAAGATAGTGCTTAAAGTTAATGAGGAACTTAATGGAAATAAATAAGTTTCTTAGCCATTTGTAAACAAAGTTAGAGCAAAGTCTTCATCTTTTCTGTTAAAGCTTTACATAAACAAAATATTTAAATGTAAAAAGTAAAATATACACAGAAAGAAATAGGTATGAATTTAATCACATGTCTAGAATGTAAAAAATGTAAGCCCTTAATTCCGGGAGGTATAAGAGATAACCCAGTGACCTACAACTTTACATTTTTAAGTCTGCCCAGATGGCTTGCCTGTAAATCTAGCACTGGGAGGCAGATGCAGGAGAACACTGTGGCCAGATCCAGGCCACGCTGAATTACACTAGGAAAGATTCAGAAAGGCCGAGGGCTTGCGTATTGCTTAGTGGTAGAACATTTGCCTGGTAGGCATGAGGCTCTGGGTTCAGTCGATAACACCACTCCCACCAAATCCCCCAATTCAGCAATGCTTGTATAAATGATAAATTGCAAATAATAGTTGTTATTTATTTGATAAGTAGTCAACTTTGCTAACATATGGGTCTTGTGTAAATTAAGGAGACGGGGCTACACAGTGAAATACTTGATCATGATGTCCCAAGAGACATCTTATATATAGCACAGACTTTCTGTGATACAGATTTCCTCAGTTGGAAGTTGGAGAATTATATCAGCCCGACACACACAAAGTACTTTGCATTATAACAGAACGCTTTTCTTAGGCAAGGGAACCAGACTAAGCGAGTGGGGAAAGGATGCACTGCCAGCCACACACTTAGGGGTGAGCACATTAAATAGGGGAGCTGTGTCCTTGGCTCCTCAACCCTGAGCAGGGGTAAGGAGGAAGACAGACAAACATACAGAAATGCTAGGAGCAGTGGTCTGGACTCTGATGGAGAAGCCTCAGCACCTTTTTATGTACAGCTAAACAAGGAGGCAGGTTTATCGAGTCTCAGTAGGAGCAATCTTCATGCTGTAAACATTCACCAGGGAGTGGTGAGAGAAAGCTACAGAGGACACTTTCTGGACACGCCGTCAGTATTCACACTCGCCCTGAGGAAGGCTTTGCCATCCCTCTGAGCCTCGTCCACTCTCATGGGGTCAAGTCACTGGGCTTGACCCGTGGATGTAGGACATCAGCATTCATGGAAATACCATAATACGTACTTCTGTAGGACTCCACTTTCTCTCTAAACTTGTACTCAGGGCTTTATTTCCAGAGATCTCCACTGCAGCTCTGTGTAGCTCATTATATATACCAGCCCCTGTGTGACGGCATCAGACCTCCACTTTAATCTCCACGGGGAAGCACCTGGTAGCATATGATCAGCTTTCTGACCTGTGGCAGCCTCCAGTCAAGTTGGAGTTGCCTGTCTGGGCAGTCCAGGTTACCTACTGTCCAGGTACCTGTGACTAGGTTTGTCAGCCCTCTGATGATATTTCTCTAGCTTTTAAAAATAGTTCTTTTTTAGTAGGATGGCTTAAAAAAAACAAGCACACATACCTCCATTGTATATCTGAATAAATATTAAACTCCTAACCCTCTCTATTTTGCATGATAGTATTCTCAGAAAAATTTAAGACAACAGAAGCATGAAATAATCCCTATTAATTGTGTTGCCCAAAATTAGAGTGTGGAATTCAGTTGCTATGTTCTCTGGTTAATTGAATTTTAATGTTTTATTGGAGATACTTTTACAAATCACTGTAACTGATTTGTTGCTAAGTACAATGTCTTAGTAATGATTGAATGTACAGTTTTACTAGAGATCTTTCAATGGCTTAAAGGCTCAGAGTGTTCTCACTGACCAACACTTTGTGAAAGACTGAGCCGCTTATGCCTTGATGTGAGATGCATTCCTAAGTAGTACCGAATTTCCGTGTTTATGTGTGTGGGAAAGTGTTTGTGTAGTACTGTGGTAAGCCTGATAATACTGTTGATAATTTTAGGCTCAATTGGAGTTTAATTAATTGGCAGTTTATTGTGTAGCATATGCTTCTTTTACTTGATCATAAATGTGAAGATTTTAGTTTCTGGTATCAATTTGACTATGCCAAAAGTGAAATTCACTAAATATACTGAATAAACTAAAAACATTCAAGTAAATTTGGTATTTTAAAATTCCTGCAAGTTTTAAAAACTGGAGCCAGTGAGATGGCTCAGTGGTAATAAAAATGCTCGATGAACAAGATCAGTACTACCAGAGTTCCTTTTGTAGAAGCCACCATGGAAGTAGAGACTGACTCCTGGAAGCTGTCCCCTGACATCTGCATGTGTATACTCTGCTTTTGTGTCAGAAGAACTGATTTACCTCCATGCCTGATGTGTTATCCATTGCAGATGCTATAATTTATGTAACACAGGATCATGTTACTCTGTGCTGACAGAGACTGAATTTGGGACCTGTCATTTATAACGAGATCCTTCCCATTATTCTTGATTTTCATATATTTGAGAGCATTTTACCCCTTCTGCATGTCAAATTGAGGCTTTATAGGAATAAGTGTTTATTATTAGCTACTTTTAGAATTAGATGTCATAAGACAAATATACTTATTAGAGTAAAAATATAATAATTTTGTGAATTTAGTGTTTCCTGTAACTTGGTTGTCTTTAAATAATTTTAATAAACAGTATTAAAAGTATGTTAAAATTTATTTTACTTTGTTGAATTAATTTTATGTAAAGCACTTAATATTTTTGGTATTAAGATACAACTTATTTTAGGAGATGAATATACCTTGTAGATCTCTAGATCTTTATTATAAGGGTTGAGTATAAACTAACAAATACTTGAATTAAATGTTTTTAGTTATATTAGTCTAATAATGATAATAAAACTACAAAGAATAAACTTTTGCTTTTAAAATATATAAATCATTTTACATGGATAATTTTTGCATTTAAAAAATCAAGCTCACAATTTCCTGACACAAGCTAGTCTTTGTCCCTTGGAGTCACTGTTTATGATTCTTTGTTCAAGGTACTAGATTTCGAAGGGAGTTGAGTCTGTTTTGATGTGTAGCTCTATCTTAGTCCCATGAATGTGGACATTCACTCACTGTTTCACTAGAAAATTTGAGAATAGCTAATGTAAATTTTCATTTCAAACATACTTGACATAATTTAGTCATTGGAAGTATTTTAAGGGTAATGAAGTAGAACTGACCATAGAGATATCTTAACACAACTAATTTTTTTTTAGTTACATAATTGGATATGAATTTCAGCCCTGGAAAATTGAAACAGCAGTCACTCAAAAAATAGTTAAGTGGTAGTTAATGGTCAGTTGACATATGCTGTAAGGTTGAGGTTAGTATGTTACTAACACTTATAAAGCTGCTCAAACCTCTGGCCACGATGATGAGAAAGAATATTGAAACAAAGAACTGTGGTTCTTATTGTTAGTGTGCCAAGAAGCATTTCTTCAAAAATCCCTGGTGCCATTCCTCTTCTGCTCTGCTAAATAAATTATAATGTGCATACTTAGCCTTTTCCCAGTGATTAGGATAATTTCAAAATAAAGATATTTTAACTAATAGTGTTTTCTTGTTTTACATACCAATCCCAGTTACCACTCCCTCCTCTCCTCCTGTTGCCCTCCCCCTACTCCCCATCCACTGCTTAGAGAGGGAAAAGCTTCCCATGGGGAGTCAAGGAACTCTTGTATCTTACCTTGAGGCAGGACCAAGGGCCTCCCCCTGTATCTAGGCTGAGCAAGGCATCCCTCCATAGACAGTGGACTCCAAAAGCCATTTCAAGCACCAGGGATAAATTCTGGTCCCACTGCCAGCAGCCCCACAGACTGAGACGCTCCTGTCACCCACATCCAGTGGGGGCCTACTTTGGTCCTATGCAGGTTATGTTAAAGGGAATTGTTTTTGAAGAACTGTCCATCTCCTCACCATGACCCTGGAGCTTTCTTGAATAATTAAGTGTTCCCTAAGTTCACTGGTTTCATGTTGTCAGTTCAGCTTTTGTTTTCTGTCACTTTTTCAAGAGTGTAATAATATGTGCCACCCATTCATCACAGAGTTCTGTTATCTGCCTCTGTAGTGTGTTCATAGTTAAGTTCATTTACAGAACAAGTTTGTGCCATTTTCTCTCAGCATTACCAAATCAGTTAGTCATTGATCTTAGGCTAGAACAGATTGCCCCCCCTGTAATATGCTTTTCCGTAGTGTTTGTCTTCAGTCATCATCGTAACGTTTGCACCTGTTATTACAGGGTTCATGCTTGAACCAGATCCAGAGCTCAGACCTGACATATTTCAAGTATCCTACTTTGCATTTAAATTCGCCAAAAAGGATTGTCCAGTGTCCAACATCAATGTAAGTAGTTTTTCAAGTAGGTAGACTTTAAAATCCATTTTAATTGTGTGTGTTTACATATCTATGTATATGCTTTAAGAGCTACTTGTTCCCTGACAGGTGGTCTTGAGAGTATGATTTTGTTTGTGTATGAGGCTTCATTTCCTAGACTTCTCAGGTGTTCTGGCTAGCTTCAGCAGAACACTTGGCATTGCAGAGCATGGGCTGTTACTATTAAGTATTCAAGCATTTGATAACAGGATTTTAGGTGTTTTGTTTTTTAGCCAGGAGGTATGGTCAGACATTATTGGGTCAGACTCAATACACAGTGTTAATTGCAAACCTTGGGACCCTTTGGTTTAAATAGTAGAGGCATTGTAGAGGGAGAGAACTGATTGCACGTATTTCTTTTATATTTTTATGGTGACTAATCCCCTTCTCCCGCTGTAAAATTAGGATAGCAATTATGATTATAGCTAATGTATAGCACAGCATCCTAGCTCTATGCCAAATACGGTGCTTATCTGGGGATGCCTGATTTTACTCAAAGGCTTTACTTGATCCCTCCCTCCCTCCCTCCCTCCCTCCCTCCCTCCCTCCCTCCCTCCCTCCCTCCCTCCCTCCCTCCCTCCTGTCTGCCTGTCTCTCTCTACAAAGCACTGGCTATCCTGGAACTCACTATGTAGACCAGGCTGGCCTCAAACTCACAGATACAGCCTGCCTCTGCCTCCCAGAGTACTGGGATTAAGTATGTATGCTGTCATGTCTGCATCAAAGGTTTTGACTTATATCCCTTTCTGTGTACTACAGTGAACTGTACGTGTCAGATTTGTAGGTCACCATTGAGTGTAATCCATCCTGAACACTATAGAAGTCATTCTGTTCTGTCTTAACGTTTTCCCCAAGTATAACTTAGCTCCTGGACAGAGGAAGGATTAGGGTACCTCTTCCTTTTTTAGAGCTCTCACTGAACCACTGTAGTGTTTCTCTATGATGCTGTGATGTTTTAGGGAGGAGAGTAGCTTTCTCTTAGGTTACACTGGCGTTAGCTTTCTGGTTAGCTCACTGTCACAGTACCCAGACTGAGACAGACATGAAATAAAGAGATGCACTGTCTCCCATTTCCTTTTTTATAGACTTTACAGTGCCGTGACAGTTGTCTGTAGTACAGAAACACATGATTGTTATCCTGGTTCTGAAGTACAAAATGTTATAATCTTTTTTTTAAACTCAAGATTTACCCGAAAGAATACTGTATGCAGTAGTGCTGTGTTCATCTTCTAAAGATTTCTGTAGAACATCAATATTTGTGTAATGCCATATTTCCAGATTAAACCTGGGGAGTATATCTGGATAATTTTTAATGTGTGACATGAAAATAATAGTATCACAGTCAGTGTTTTGAAAGTTTATTAGTCTATGTATAGTCCAAAAATTACTACAATTCAATTTAAAAACTGTGAAAAATGTGTTTTTTCTCCCCAGAATTCTTCTCTTCCCTCAACTCTCCCTGAACCGATGACTGCTAGCGAAGCTGCTGCTAGGAAAAGCCAAATGAAAGCCAGGTAGGCCAGACGGTGCTGAAACCAACAGGCATTCTGTGAGAGAAAAGCCAGGTAGGCCAGATGGTGCTGAAACCAACAGGCATTCTGTGAGAGAAAAGCCAGGTAGGCCAGACGGCGCTGAAACCAACAGGCATTCTGTGAGAGAAAAGTCAGGTAGGCCAGACGGTGCTGAAACCAACAGGCATTCTGTGAAAGAAAAGCCAGGTAGGCCAGACGGCGCTGAAACCAACAGGCATTCTGTGAAAGAAAAGCCAGGTAGGCCAGACGGCGCTGAAACCAACAGGTATTCTGTGAAAGAAAAGCCAGGTAGGCCAGACGGTGCTGAAACCAACAGGCATTCTGTGAAAGAAAAGCCAGGTAGGCCAGACGGTGCTGAAACCAACAGGCATTCTGTGAAAGAAAAGCCAAATGAAAGCCAGGTAGGCCAGACGGTGCTGAAACCAACAGGCACTCTGTGAAAGAAAAGCCAAATGAAAGCCAGGTAGGCCAGACGGTGCTGAAACCAACAGGCATTCTGTAAAAGAAAAGCCAAATGAAAGCCAGGTAGGCCAGACGGTGCTGAAACCAATAGGCATTCTGTGAAAGAAAAGCCAGGTAGGCCAGACGGTGCTGAAACCAACAGGCATTCTGTGAGAGAAAAGCCAGGTAGGCCAGGCGGTGCTGAAACCAACAGGCATTCTGTGAGAGAAAAGCCAGGTAGGCCAGACGGTGCTGAAACCAACAGGCATTCTGTGAGAGAAAAGCCAGGTAGGCCAGACGGCGCTGAAACCAACAGGCATTCTGTGAAAGAAAAGCCAGGTAGGCCAGACGGCGCTGAAACCAACAGGCATTCTGTAAAAGAAAAGCCAAATGAAAGCCAGGTAGGCCAGACGGTGCTGAAACCAACAGGCATTCTGTGAGAGAAAAGCCAGGTAGGCCAGACGGTGCTGAAACCAACAGGCATTCTGTGAAAGAAAAGCCAGGTAGGCCAGACGGTGCTGAAACCAACAGGCATTCTGTGAAAGAAAAGCCAGGTAGGCCAGACGGTGCTGAAACCAACAGGCATTCTGTGAGAGAAAAGCCAGGTAGGCCAGACGGCGCTGAAACCAACAGACATTCTGTGAAAGAAAAGCCAGGTAGGCCAGACGGCGCTGAAACCAACAGGCATTCTGTGAAAGAAAAGCCAGGTAGGCCAGACGGCGCTGAAACCAACAGGCATTCTGTGAAAGAAAAGCCAGGTAGGCCAGACGGCGCTGAAACCAACAGGCATTCTGTGAAAGAAAAGCCAGGTAGGCCAGACGGCGCTGAAACCAACAGGTATTCTGTGAAAGAAAAGCCAGGTAGGCCAGACGGTGCTGAAACCAACAGGCATTCTGTGAAAAAAAAGCCAGGTAGGCCAGACGGTGCTGAAACCAACAGGCATTCTGTGAAAGAAAAGCCAAATGAAAGCCAGGTAGGCCAGACGGTGCTGAGACCAACAGGCACTCTGTGAAAGAAAAGCCAGGTAGGCCAGACGGTGCTGAAACCAACAGGCATTCTGTGAGAGAAAAGCCAGGTAGGCCAGACGGTGCTGAAACCAACAGGCATTCTGTGAGAGAAAAGCCAGGTAGGCCAGATGGCGCTGAAATCTACAGGCATTCTGTGAAAGAAAAGCCAGGTAGGCCAGACGGTGCTGAAACCAACAGACATTCTGTGAGAGAAAAGCCAGGTAGGCCAGACGGCGCTGAAACCAACAGGCATTCTGTGAGAGAAAAGCCAGGTAGGCCAGATGGCGCTGAAATCTACAGGCATTCTGTGAAAGAAAAGCCAGGTAGGCCAGACGGTGCTGAAACCAACAGGCATTCTGTGAGAGAAAAGCCAAATGAAAGCCAGGTAGGCCAGACGGTGCTGAAACCAACAGGCATTCTGTGAAAGAAAAGCCAGGTAGGCCAGACGGTGCTGAAACCAACAGGCATTCTGTGAGAGAAAAGCCAGGTAGGCCAGACGGTGCTGAAACCAACAGGCATTCTGTGAGAGAAAAGCCAGGTAGGCCAGATGGCGCTGAAATCTACAGGCATTCTGTGAAAGAAAAGCCAGGTAGGCCAGACGGTGCTGAAACCAACAGACATTCTGTGAGAGAAAAGCCAGGTAGGCCAGACGGCGCTGAAACCAACAGGCATTCTGTGAAAGAAAAGCCAAATGAAAGCCAGGTAGGCCAGATGGTGCTGAAACCAACAGGCATTCTGTGAGAGAAAAGCCAGGTAGGCCAGACGGTGCTGAAACCAACAGGCATTCTGTGAAAGAAAAGGTTGCAGCAATCCTGTACCCAAAATGTCGTGTTGTCCATTCTGTGGTTCTGTAGCTTAGCTAGTGAGTACAAAAGAAACTTCAAAGGTACTAACTACTAACTTGATGCTGTTGTCATGGGAACTGTTTACTCGCCTGGGCAGATGAGAGTGCAAGCTGCCGATGTTGCAGTGGGTCTCTGATGCTTGCCATCATTTTCATCACTGACTGTTCCTAATTCAGGAAATTTTAGATTTGAGTTAATAGCCAGTAGGTCTATTGCTTATATTTAAGAAATGAAGCAGTATTTGTCACAGGCTATTCGTGTGTGTAATTGTAGAATTTATGTGTGTATACGATTAGAAAGCTTGCTAAAGAATTAAATTTGAAAGCTTACTTTTATTTACTCTAGTGATAAATTTGAATTCTGTTATGTATATTGAGACTTAAAATCTGGGGCTGGAGAGATGATTCAGCAATTAAGAATACATAATGGTCTTGTGGGCATGTTGAGTATCATTACAATGAACCATAATTGGCTCTGTCTATCAGTGACCTGACGTCTTTGTTGCACTTTTAGAGGACTTGTATTCTACCATGCTGCTCACCCTTTTTACAAGATGGCGTGCCCATAGTATATTGATACAATTTTCTTTGAAAAATTGCCTTAAATTTGTTTGGCTCATTCCCTGCATGTCTGTGATGCATTTTGGCCACAGGCGCTCTCCAGGACTGTCTTTTGCACCCCGCCCCACACTGCCTGCCCCTCCTCCCAGCCGGTCCTCTTCTGTAATACTGTTCATGTCCTCCTCTCATGACTGCCTGAGTCCAGTTAGGCTGCTAGCCCTAATTCCTAAGTCTTGTGATGCAGTTTTTATTTCTTCCCTTTTGGGAAGATAACTGTTACGATGGCTCCCTCTTGTGCTACATGTGGGTATTGTGAAAGAACTGTAGGTGTGTGCTGATGGCTATAGCTGTGGGCTTGATAAACCACGCGTACACAGTTTTAGGTGTTAAATCGTTTGGAGTAACATTAAGCGAAGCCATCAAAGAAATAAGTGATTGAAATTCTATACTGACTTTATAGAAAGCAAAGTTGAAGAATATGCAATTTCAAGATTATATTGGTCCTACCTGTGCACATGCTGGCATGAGTGGGTATCAAAAAATGAATAAAAAGCTCATGAAGTTGTGAGGGTAATAGGGAGGAAGTTGGAGGGGAGGCGGTGGGTGTTGGATTTGATCCAGATAGACTTTTAATATACAAATATTAAAAATAAACATTTATCTATTTTCTGTTTTTGTTTGTTCCTTTTGAAAATTCACCTATGTCTGCTAGTCATATTGCTTTAAAAATTGTGTTATCACTGTACTGTCTGCATTTGGGGTCTATACTGCGTCCCAGTCAGACGTGTTTTATGATTCCCATTTAGTGTTCTAGGCGAACAGGGTTGGAGGTGAGCCGGCAGCCTTCCCTGACAAGCACTGTATCTTGTGTTTTACTGCTCTAGGAGACAGCATTCCTTTTTCTCCAGCCCAAGCTAAGGGGTTATTTCTTGTCTTTTTAAAAAACTGAATCTGAGTTTTGTCAGAAACCTCATGAGAGTGTTTCCGTTTGTACTGTGTCAGTCTCAGGCCATCCCTTAGTCTCTGGGTTATATTCCTATTCTTCCATTCAAAGGCTGACTATGCACAATGGTCCAGTTTCAACATCCATGGCTGGCTGTATTTTTTACTTTACTAGCTTTATTAAACATATGTTCCAAGATGGATACTTAGAAGGAATCCAAAAAGACTAATGTGGTCATCTGTAACTATCATGGCTAGAATGAATAGTAAGCTAGAAATCATCTCAATATTTGGAATGAATTATATTTTTCTGTTACAGAATAACAGATACCATTGGACCAACAGAAACCTCAATTGCACCAAGGCAAAGACCAAAGGCCATTTCCACTACTGCCACTTCCAGTGTGCTGACTATTCAGAGTTCAGCAACGCCTGTTAAAGTCCCTGCTCCTGGTGAATTCAGTAACCACAAAACAAAAGGTAATTAACCTTTACATTTCTGATCTCTTCATGGTATGGATTAGGCTGATGTTGTTTGATTCCCTGAGAATATAAGTGAATTTAATATTGTAAAGCACAGAGCACAGTGCTTTAAGAAACAGGGCTGGATAAATGGCTGTCAGTAAAGTGCTTGCTGAGCAGGTGTGGAGACCTGGGTTTAGATTTCCAGCACCCACAGTAAAAACAGATGGGCGTGGCAGTGTGCTCCTATAACAGCGTGGGGTGGAGGTAGAGGTGCCGGCACGGCGGTGGCTCTCTGCTCTTGTATCTTGGACTCTCAGCTGTTTGTTTTTGTTTTGTTTAATTTTGATGCATTAGTTTTTTTATTTTTAAAAAATTTATTTTATGTGCACTAGTGTGAAGGGATCTGATCCTCTGGAACTATAGTGATAGACAGTTGTGAGCTGCCATGTGGGTGCTGGGAATAGAACCCGGGTCCTCTTGAGGAGCAGCCAGTGCTCTCAACCCCTGAGCCATCTCTCTAGCCCCTGTGTTTTTGTTTTATCTTTGCTGTATTTTATTTTATTACCCTTAGAAGCCTATTTATTTTCTAGAGAGAGACAAGAAGGAAGTGGACCCAGATATGAGGGGAAGTGAGGAGAAACTGGGAGGAGTAGTAGGGAGGGGAAACAGGATATGTTATGTGAGAAAAATATATTTGTAATAATAGGAAAGTAAAAGAAAATAGCTATGTAAGCCACTAATGTGTGAAAGGCAGAGTGGGATGAAGTAAATTAAGAGGGAATGTTAGGTGAAGGAACAAGAAAGAGATTCCATCTAAACTTTAAACAGTGGGATTTCGGTAGATGAAAATGATGCCTTAACACCCAGAGAGCCTTGCTGCTGTGAATGCATATTCATCACCGGGCATGCTGGGGCGGAACTTGCGGAACAAGGCTGTGTGGCTACTCTCTTGGGTAGGAAGATGAAGTCAGCACATGGTGCATTCATAAGATACTTATTTGTTCGAGTTGTAGATGACAAAATTACATTTCATGGGCATGTACAATACAGTAAATACTTAGTTTAGACTATGTAATATATACAGAAGTCTATTATAAGACCATAGAAATGTTTTAATTAAATAACTTGGAATCCAGCCATCTTGTTGAAATTATGTGTGTATTCATGTTTTTGGAACTACAGGAGCACTGAGACCTGGAAATGGGTCTGAAGTCCTAGTGGGTCAGGGCCCCCCTCAGCAACCACCACAGCAGCATAGAGTCCTCCAGCAGTTACAACAGGGAGATTGGAGATTGCAGCAACTTCATTTGCATCGAGTTCCTCAGCAGCAGCAGCAGCAGCTGCAGCAGCAGCAACAGCAGCTACTTCAAAATGCTTATTTGCAGCAGGTAGTGTTTTTATTACTTTAGATAGGGAAGTAGTGTGAAATTCACACAGCAGTCGGGTATCATTGCATTCACTTTTGTATCATAGGCATATAATAGGCATATCGTAACGTGAACTGTATTCAAATAGACATTTCCCTTAGTTTCCTGCTCACTGAAGAATATGATATTAAATGAAGAGGTGCTCTTTTAAAATGGTCACATCATGGCTTTATGAAGCAAAAGTGTTTATTTGGTATTCAGAAATTTGTTGCATTTTGAGTCCATTCCATGCTATGTTGATATATTTTCAAAAGTAACATTGTCTTTTCATTATTTTTTTATTTTTTTGGTTCTGAGCCTGGTCTTTAACTGCTGAGTCATTTCTGTAGTCCTGTTTTTAATTTTTCATTATTTTGACTGTGTTGGAATAGAGTAAAAAAGAACTATTATTCTGTTCTCTGCTTAATAAAACCTTCAAAATTCTAGTCCTCTAGACTTTGCTAAATGGGAGTGCTGTAAGTATAGGCGTTGTGTCTTTGTCTGAGGTGTGCTTGAGCTGATTGTGCACGCGACGCTGCCCCTGTGTGGCTTCTCCACTGTTGGCTGCTGGAGATGGAGTGAGGGTGCTGGGTGGCGCCATGAGTGGTGGCGAACACGGAAGGAGAGCTGCTGTGATGAGTCAGATCACTGAAGGCCGCCGTCATCAACAAGGAAACACTGACGAGTGTTTGTTAGTTCTCTTCCAAGCATCCTTATACTGTGCTGATGCAGATTTAGCTAAACTAGTTTATTACTACCTTAAAACTAATTCTGATAAACATATATAAAGTGACAGTCACAGATTATAGTTTATATTGGTTTTAAGATCTGATTTTCTTAATCATTGATCTGATTAAATCAATACTTACAAAAACAGAACTTGGGATGGAGAGATGGCCCATTGGTTAAGAGCACTAGCTACTTTTGCAGAGGACTGAGGTTCAAGTCCTAGCACCCACAACTGTCAATAACTCCAATCCCAGTCAATCTAGTGCCCTCTTTTGGACTCTGTGGGTACTGCATGCACATGATGCACAGGCAGACATGCAGGCTAAACACCCATAGATACAAAATAAAAATAGATCATAATAAGAAAACCCTCTGGCATTGCAAAGGTATGAATATTGTTTGTTTTAGTTACTATTCTATCACTGTGTGTAGACATCATGATGAAGGCAACTCACACAGTGTGTATTGGGCGCTTGCTTAGTTTCAGAGGTCAGGCTGTTGTCGTCATGGTGTGTGGGTGACGTGTAGCAGGTGGGCACGCATGTGCTGGAGCACTTATTGAGAGAGGGGAGAGAGAGAAAGAGAGAGAGAGAGAGACAGAGACAGAGACAGAGACAGAGACTCTGGACCTAGCATGGGCTTTTGAAACCCCAAAGCTCATCCCCAGTGACACACCTCCAACAAGGCCACACTCATTTCAGCAAGGCCACCCCTCCTAATTCTGCCCAAATAGTACCATTAACTGGGAAATACCATTCAAACACATGAGCCTGTGGGGGCATTCTCGTTCAGATCACCACAGTATTGATTTCTGTTTTTTTTCCTATCATAGTATCAGCATGCAATGCAGCAGCAGCAGCAGCAGCAGCAGCAGATCCTTCAACAACAGTTTTTAATGCATTCAGTCTATCAGCCACCACCTCCCACATCACAGTATCCTACAATGGTAAGGGCTGTGTAATGTCTAGATGTTCTCTACAGGTGTGCATTACTAAGTTGGAATTTACAGTATGCATGATTGTAATGTAGAAGTTCATGACTCACAGTCAGCTTGGGGGTTGGGGAAATGAGTCAGTCCAGCAAGTGCATGTCATGCATGTACCAGGACCTAAGTTTAATCTTCAGCACCCATTCAGAAATCTGGCTGCATGGCAACTTGCACCTGTAATCCCAGTAATAAGGAGGCAGAGACGGGAAAACCTGGGGTTTGCTCCCCCCCACTCCGAAATCTGGCCGAATCAGTGAGCTCCAGGTCCAGTGAGAGACCATGTCTCAATAAATAAGGGGAGAGTGATGACAGACGCACATCCACATCTTAGCCTCTGTCCACACACATGCAAACTGAGGGAAGATGGACAGATGGCTCGGTAGACAGTGTTTGCTGTGTAGGCAAGAGGATCCTACTTCTAAGTGAAGTAGAAAGCCAACAGCACATGCTCCACCCAGCATCCCACTGGGTGGGCTAGAAAGAGGTAGCTTCTTAAAGCTCATTGGTCAACCATTTCTAGCTGAATTGATGAACTCTCGGTTCGGTGAGAGATCTTGTCTCAAAAACCAAGCTAGAGATTGATAGAAAAATCCAGTGTTGGTCTTGGCCTCCACATGTATTTATGACCTTGCCCCTTCCATGTAGAATATATACACAAGTTAAAAAATTACTTAATTGATATATTTTCATTGAAGGCAGATATATTCTCAAGCAGTGTGCAGTTAAACTCTTGCATCTGAATGTGTCACATTATAGCTGTCTGATAACACTTCTGTTTATGAGTCCCTATAGTCTTTTGTCATATATCTGTTCGATTTAGCACGTATCTATTGAGCAAAAGGGAAACATAGAAGGATGTACTATGTATTTGCTCCAGAGGACAGTTTACCCCTTCCTCAGCCCCTCCCCCCTTGTACCCTTTCTCCCCACCACCCTTCCCCAGAGAATCAGTTTATCTTAACCTACTCCTTTGTCTTTTTCTTAAAATATTTAAAGGAGGAATTTTGAATCTGGTGAAGTGATTCTGGCTTTTTAATATTAAATGAGTTTAAATCACCCCATGTAGTTCTCTGATGACAGCTACTTCTTCAGATACAGTGCGTTTATTGGGTTTCCAGTTTTTTCTCCGTGGGAAAAGGAAGGAACACATGGGTGTACTGCTGGGGTGACTTGATCGTGGGTTGTCTGTTGTGTCTTGTTTCAGATGCAGCAGTATCACCAGGCTTTCTTGCAGCAGCAGATGCTAGCTCACCGTCAGCAGCCTCAGTACCATCAGCAGCCTCCGCAGCAGGCATCACCTGAGTATCTTACCTCCCCTCAAGAGTTCTCACCAGCCCTCGTTCCCTGCACTTCATCACTTCCAGCCCAGCTTGGAGCCATAGTGGATTCCTCTTTCGGTGCCAATAGGCAAGTGCTCTTCTAGTGACCGCAAAGGGACTTACTGTGGAAGTGGGTGACACTAAGTGGCCCTTGAATTAACTCAGTTGATCTTCATGTAGAGCTGATTTGCTCCCCTCCTAGTCCTCTGTTGTGTGCCTGCCTGCCTGCCTGCCTGCCTGCCTTCCTTCCGTTGCCGTCTAGCAGTTCTGCCAGTTGCTATTTGCAGACAAAGTTATCCGTACCTGAGGACATTTGGGTAAGGAATGTTTTGTTGAGCAAGTGACAGCATTCTTCGTAATTTAAGCAGAAGCTAAATCCCAGAAGGCTACTTTAGTAGTTAAAAATAACTCTTGTAGATGTGTTAACTTTTTTACCTATGTGTTGCTACTACCTTCAGTTAATTTCAGAATTCATAAAGTTTACACAATTTTTTTTACACAGGAACAAATATTTTAAGTATGTCATGCATAGCTAACTTAGTGTATTTGGGAAATAGTGAATTTTAGCTATTGAGATATACTGGTTAGAATTGTTGTGTGGGTAGGTACTTTATATGGGAAATCATCACAGTAAATTGAAGAACTTTGGTATAAAGTTTCTCACACTTGGCTATGACATTAATATTAGTACTTTGGGTTCTTGGAATTGAGCCAGTATGAAGTGTTTGGGAGATAGCTTGTTAAAGTGCTTTCCACACAAGCCCAGATACCTGCATTTGATCTTCAGGATCTGTTAAAGTGGGGAGCGGTGGGGAGATGGAGATGGAGGATCCCTGGAGATCCCAGCCTAGTCTAATTGATGAGCCCCAGTATCAAGAAACAAAATGGACAGCCCCTGAGGAATTCCACTAGAGGTTGGCTTTTTCCCTCCTTGTGTGTATGCACAACTGTACATGTACACACAAAAACACACCCCTCCCACCCCAAAGTAATCAGTATGGATATCTGTAAATACAAGACTGAAATTAGCTGATAAACTCGTTACTAAAGCACCAAAGAGGCTCTTACACACAGTTCCAGGCTTTGAAACAGTCGCTGAGAGAGGATGCATGAGTTTGAGTAGACAGTGGGCAGCGACATCACTGTACATTGTGTTTGTCCAAAGAGGGTCAGTCTACAGTTAGTCATAGTGTTGTGTGTGTGAGTGAATGGGAGGGAGGAAGGGAGCAAAGGGGGGAGGGAGGAAGGAAGGAGAAGAATGCTAGGGACCTGTCACGTGCTAGGGTGACACCAGGAAGGAAATGTAAAAAAAATTAATGAGATGCTTTTCTGAAGCAAAAAAATTTGCTTCAAAAATAGTACTTGAGCCAGGCGGTGGTGGTGCTCGCCTTTAATCCCAGCACTCGGGAGGCAGAGACAGGCGGATCTCTGAGTTTGAGGCCAGGCTGGACCGACAGCCTCCAAAACAATACAGAGAAACCCTGTCTGATAAAACCAAAAAAAAAAAAAATAGTACTTGAACTGGGCCAAATTTGTTTAATGGAGAACAGAATTTAAAGGTACAAATCAGTGTTTGTTACTTGCTCACTCTAGTTTTTGTTCATGTACTTAGCACTTTTCTATAATACATTAGTAGTACTATTATAAGAAAATTAAGGCCAAAACTACATACTTGAAACAAATTAGAATCTCATATTTTGCTTGACTGTAGTTGGTATATGGTCTTTAAGCTGCCGGTTTCATTAGAAACCCACATGGCAACAACTGAGGTTTACTTTCCAGCACTGTCCAAAGAAACAAAAGAAATTAAGCCACAGATAAAGTTCAGGAGTGTGTATGGTGCACAGCAGTAACACAGACCCTCTCATTCAGGGTTCCGCTGTCAGTACTCGTCATTGTGCACTTCAGAGACTGGTGGTCCTTCGGAAGTATAAGTTTATACAAGTCAACAGCCATAAAAGTCAGTGGTCTCTACTGTGTCAGCCTCATCAGCATCTTGTTGTCCTTCTGAGACAGAGTCTCATTATGTAGCTCTGGCTGTCCCAGAGCTTGCTAACAGACTAGGATGGCCTCAGTCTTGAAGATCTGTCTGCTTTAGTCTCCTGAGTGCTGGGACTAAATGCATGTGCTACCATGCCCAGCTCTCATCAGTATCTTGAAGCTAAATACTTCACAGCAGAAATCTTTGCATTTGTCATCTGTACATGTCTGTCCGTCACCTGTGCTGGAAATTGAAGCCAGGGCCTTGGACATGCCAAGTGCCCATTCTTCCTGTGAACTGTGCCTCAAGTGTCTCTGTTACTTGAAAAAAAAAAAGATTCATTTGTATTTTATGTGTATGAATGCTTTGCCTGCATGTATGCATGTGCACCATGTAGGGACCTGGTCCCCCCTAGGGCCAAAAGAAGGCATTGGTTTCCTAGAAATGGAGTTGCACATGGTTGTGAGGCACCATGTGTGTCCTGGGAACTGAACACAGACCCTCTGCAAGAGCAGGAAGTGCTGTTAACCACTAGTTGTCTCTCCAGCATCCCTATACAGATTTTAATACTGAAAACTATCATGTTTTTAATTTGTTTAAAATGTTCTTAATTATTTACAGTTATTTAAATCAAATGCCAGTTAAAGAGATGCAGTGTGGTAAATTAAGTAATTGTAACTACAATAAGAACATTATTATGTGGGATTAGAGATTAGGTTTCATTCTTTTTGGAGAGAAGTGTAAAGAATTAACCTCCTCACTCCCAGCCTAGTGCTACAGATTACACTAAGGTTTTGAGTGCTCTGTGTGTGGTTGGATCCCTAGACGTTGTAGCTGTGCTTTACTATATTTTTAAATTGTGTGTTACGGTGACACTCTGTTGAGTAGTGTTCCAAAAACAGTCTCTGAATTCATCCTGGGAGTGGTAGGAGAATGACTCAGATAGGAAGCCAGGCAGTTTAAGAAGCTGTCTGCAGAAGGGAAATGCTCTCTGAGTTTTCCCATCTGCTGTGTGTCTTATCAAGCCCCAAACATCTTGGAAATAGAGATGAAGTTCTGCCACATGAAGGTGATTTATAACTTAGCCATACCCAAGTTCTATTTACCAAGTAAGTCTATTTAGTTGTAGGTAAATTACTATTTTCCTTTCATGTGCTCTAGACTTCAATAATTGCTGCAACATTCCATTGTGGTGTCTCTATATAGCCTCATATGATACAGGGTAGGTATTGGATCACTTTACAGTATTCAGCAGTGGTTTTAGAGTGATACTGTTTGGTACGGTTACTGATTTTCACTTTAGGACTTAACTTTGAGAGTAACAACTAATACCAACTACTTGTTTTTTTATTTTTAAACCACACTGTTTTTGCTTTGCATATATTGAATTCTTTACTCTTTTCAGTAGCTCCATTAAGTTTATGCTGTATTCCTTTTTTTCTTACTAAATTTTTTCAAGACAGGATTTCTCTGTGTAGCCCTACCTGTCCTGGAACTCACTCTGTAGATCAGGCTGGCCTTGAACTCAGAGAGACCCATCCACCTGTCTCTGCCTCTCCAGTAATGGGATTAAAGGTGTGCCTGCCTGACTGCTGTCTTCCTTTTTCATGGACTAGAATGCTGAGGAGTAAGGGGCTAAGAAAGGAGCACATCAGGTGTGCCATACACAGGCGGTTGTCTGTGGGGCTGTGTGCCTCGGGGAGGTGGTTCAGACGGCAGCTGTTGTCTGTTCATCCTGTACTCCAGGTCTTGTTTTCTAAGAGTTTCTAAAGCATAAAGCTGAGCACTCACGTTTTCTCGTTTGTAACGTCGTCCTTTGCATCCATTCTTTTCTCTTTCAACCAGGTCAGTTGCTGAGAAGGAGGCAGTCATGCATTTCACAAATGAGAAGGGCATCAGTCACCCGCCTGATATGTCAGGGTGGAACCCTTTTGGAGAAGACAACTTCTCCAAGTTAACAGAAGAGGAACTGCTGGACAGAGAGTTCGACCTTCTCAGATCAAGTAAGGGACACTTGAAGGCTTATTTTGCTTCACAGTAAATAAAGTACAGCTCTATAATTCAGCAAGGCCAAAGACTGTTTCCAGGTGGTGTGAACAATTGTTTATGTGCATTTGAGGCAAAATTCAGGTCACTTTCTTTCATATACTATTAAACTATGTTGTGTCACACATTTAGAAATTAGTTGCTTGATAGTAGCTAAAAAACTCAAGATTGCTGATATCTTAACCCTTACAAACTACTATCTATGAATGTGAATTCATATTATCTTCAAAACATGAGAGACTCATGTTCAAGTAGAGAAGACACTATGAGTACTTTGCCTTACTAATCACTTTGCAGCTCTGTGTTGCACACTCAGTAGAAGATATGGTGATCTGAGACATGCTTGAAAATGCCCAGAGAAAACATGGGCTACATTGTGTTAATGTTTTGTCATGTCCCTTTAATGAGTGGTCACATAAAGGGGTTGCTTTCTTGTCCTGATTTGGCCAAAGCTAAATAAAATCCTTTTCCACTTTAAATCTGATATGTCAATGTTTTTACTTGGAATCATTAACATTCCTCAAACTACCTAATGTATATATATATATGTAATGTATATATATATATATACACACACATACACATCAAGATTTGCCAGATGTATTTTAGAAGTAATCCTTTATGGAAGATGTGGTTGTTTTGAAGAGGTTTGCAGAATAAGAGCAAGAAGCTCATTTTGTGGAGAATATCAGTGATTTTTCTAGTTCTGGAGGCTGTGTATGTATAGGTATGTATATATGTGTGTGTATACATATACACAGGTATACATGCATATATACAGTGTGTTTCCCTGTTTTGCTTATGAAATGAAGAACCTAATAAATAACTCCTAGGTTCTAATTTCTGTTTTATGTAGATAACTAGCTTTATGAACACATCTAGTAAATGAAATGTTTTGTCTGAATTAGTATGTATTTTATGTAAAATTTATAGATGACCTGCATTCATGTAAGGGATTTCTGCAAGGCATTCATGTTTGGCATCTAAATTTGTATTTTGTATATTGATGAGTAAATATGGATATAAAAATGAATTTTAAGACCCTAATATATATACACATATATATTTGTTAACTTTGATAAAATCAATCTTACCTCATATTAAAAAATGTTTTTAAATCAACAGTTTTGTTTGGCATTTTTCCTGGAGTTTATTTTAAGTAGCCCCAAAAGCATGTCTTAAAAAAAAAAAGGTTGTAAATCATGTCTTGAAGAATAGTAAAGGAGATGCAGGGGGTCCTCAAGTACTTGTCATTTGTAGGATTATTTTAGTGTTTTATGAGTGTGTGTTTATACATGCATGTACATTAATGCCTATGGCAGCCTGAAATCAGCCTGAAGAGTCACCTTTGATCCCTCTCCACTAGTTTATGTAGTCTTCTTGTCTGGAATCTCCTGTCTGCCTGTTGAGCCTTGGAGTTAGATGATGGCCACCATCTCCTCCTGGCATCCACAGTGGGGTTTCTGGATTCTCTCCTCATTCTTGTGTAGCAAGTGTGTTAGCTGTGCCATCTCCCTAGCCTAGGGTTAGTTTCGACGTTTTGATGCAGATGGTGCCACTTTCAATGTGCTCTGACAAGGGTCAGCTAAGTAAATATTTTCTGTTTCTTAAGTTAAAAAAATCTTTTTTTTTTCTTCAAAAGCCAAGGGCTAGGTAAAGGCTTTAATTATTTTGTGTCTTATAAAATGTGGTATTTGTTTGGGATAGGAACTATATATGAACATGCCTGCATGTGTAATTTTGTCTTTTAAAATTTTGGAACAGCTGTTTTCAAATTTGAAGATAGGAAGCATCAGTGACTTACATATACTTGTGGACCTGTTTTTAAAGGCAGCTCAGACTATATCACACTGCGTCAGAAGATGACAGGTCCCAAATGAAAGCCCAGGATGTCAGACTGGAGCAACCACTGTTCTTTGCAAACTACCCAGTGGCCTTGAGCAGTGGGCATCACTACCACACGGTTTCTGCCCTTACTTTACCACATAGCATCAGAATGGCATGTCGCTGGAATAGAGTTCAGTGAGGTCCCTTAGCTGCCATCACTCATTCTCCCTCTCTTCCAAACTGGGATAGACGGGACAGGGTTGTTAGGTTTAGACACAGGGAACGAGAGCCATCACTCCAGATCTTAAGATGTTTAGCTGGCATTTTCAAATTATACTTAACTCATGAGGTATCTTGGTAAGTTACAAATGAAATGAGAGTCCAGGGCACAAGGCTAACTGAAGATGGGCAGATGGCAGCTGAAAGCAGGTGGAAGTCATTCCATTCTCTTAACAGAGTGAGTGGGCTGCCGTTCAGAGAGAGGTGTAGTAGTTAGCTTCTTTCAGAAACTCAGAGATTGAGGATAATGTATAGGATGTATGCACTTAGAAACGTTTCTTTCCCTAGTTTTCCTTAGCTGTAGAGGTCATCTTTGATTCTTATTTAGGTACAGCAGTAGTGTATCCAACATTTGCTCTGTATGGTAGAGTTTAAGTCATTCTGATAGGCAAGGACCTCTTCTAGAACCTTAAATTCATCATAAGACCATGCAGTGGGTGTTCATTATTGCTTGGTTCTTGTCTCCCCAACCTTTTCCAAAATGAAGAAATAATTTCTTAATGCCCTTGGAATACCACATAGTTAGTTTGTACACTTGGTTTTTGGCACACATGTTTATTAACAGTTTTCCATGGTTTGTAAAAGCACATGAGTTAGATTGATGGAAGCCTTTCTAGAGAGAGACTGCCATCTTCCTGAGAACACTGTCCATGTAGGTGACGGGTTGGTTGCAGAGTGGCTACAATTCAGTGTTGCATTACCATTCAGGATTTACCTATTAAAGTGGCATATGGTTATTTGTTTAATAGGAAAAAGATAACACTGTCTAAAAATAAATATGACTTGTGTGCTTCTTATAAGAAGCAATTTTAAAGTCATAGCAACATTTTCGAGATACTAAAACTGAAATATTAGTAATATTTTTTTGGTTATCTTTAGGAAAATCCTTGGTTACCTATAATAGGCATTTAACATCTAAAACTATTGTTGCTTTAACTTTCAGTGTAAGTGAGTGTAATTTATGGTTCAGAATCTTTTACTGGCTCTTTCTTGATAATAATATATTAAGCCAAGATTAAGCATTAGTAATAAGGTTAGTCTCAGTGTTTTTTTTTAAAGTTAAACTTGCAGTTGTCACTGTCTTTTGTACCAAAGCATCCATATTTAGTTTGTAAGCCTCAGGTGTCTAGCTGTCATATTTAATATGTTAAATAGTAATTGGAATGCCACCTGTTTGGGGAAAATCGAAACTTGCATTTGGTTAGATAGCTGTTTACTTGTAATTGTATATTAAGAACAATGGGAGGTTCATTGGTGGACAAATAGATGTACTGATCTCTGTTTAAAATTTCATCAAAAATAACTAAAAGGAATAACAGAAACCCAAAGATTGGTTGGTTTGCAGTTTTTCTGAGTATGTTGTATAATTTTTAAAGACACAATAAAATTGCTGTGAATGCCAGGGTCTCTATGGTAACATACCAGCAGTCACCCTTTCCTAGTGAACTGCTACAGTGTCCTTAACACAGAGCAACAATCTTCCAGTCCATTAGGATGGCTCCAAAGTATCTACGGAGACTGCTTTTTATAGCCCTATTCATTAAGCAAGTCTTTGCTTGAGGCCATTGTTCATTTAACCTACAACTTAAAATGCCTCCTAGAGTATTTTAATTGTGTGGTGATGTTATGGAGAGTACTTTGCTTTCAGAATTGTAAAACCGTCTTTTTTCACCATTTCTATCAATTAAATGCCTTGGAAAGAATCCATCTCTATTTGCCAACACAATTCTTTTGTAAGGCATGGTGAGGTAAATTTCTTGTATTAAATTCAGGCCTGTTCTAATTGAGAGAAATTCATTCATTTGAAACCATGTCTTTAAAATGTGGCTCCACATTGAGAACTTTGTTTTTATTTCCATGTAATTGATTGTATAATAAGTTAATGTGTATTTGTTTTGTATTCTGTGTTCTGAGACCCAGATTATGTGAATCTTAGAAACCTTAAGTGATTTAAAAAATACTCCATTAAAATTGATTCTGTGTTTTGTGGAACAGTGAGAAAACGGTTCATTTTGTTATAAATGTATTCTGACTTCTGTTTGAAAATAACTGAGTAAATGAGTTTTTCATATAATAGTACCTCCTGTATTTTTCCACATGGAGACAGACTCCTACATAAGGATTAGCTCACTCCCACTGTGCTGTAACAGCACAGTGCTTTTTATATATTTGCCACAATTTACTTGATTGTTAAAGATAATATACTGAGTGCAAAAGGATTCAAAGAGTGTAGTAGTATTTCGCACTTTCATAATCTGGGCACCATTGTTATGATAGTATTTTGTACAGTGGAGGCTCCCATGTTCACATTTAGACATTCTGATTCATCGGTCTGTGTAGTAGGGGATGAGACCGCTCTGTATTAGATCCCTGGCAGTATGCAGATGTTTAAGAAGGCTGTTCCTAATTCAGACTTAAGTCCCTACATGCCCTGTGGATTTCAGGAATTGCCCTTCCTGCATACTGCTGTTGTGGCCGTCACTTGGCTTAGCGTCTTGTCTTCACTCTTCTATGGTAGAATCTAGAAGGTATACACAAGACTGAGGACTTGGATACAGTGCATGATCTCTGGTTTATAGTTACCCCAGGAGAAGGGCTGTCCTTCATGTGTTGTCATTGCTTCCCACCACAGTGAATTGGGAGCCCTCCATCATAATGCTTTCCCCAGAAAGATGCGAGGAAACTAGCTTCTTAACAGCTGTCTTAACAATAGAGTGTGAAATGTGAAAAAAGGTGTTCATTCTTAGATATTTCATTTCTGTTGGATTCTTCCTCCCTGTTCTCTGGTCCCTTAAAATTAAATTGAGTTTTTCATGCAAGCATATAAACTGCATAGGGGTGTGTGGGGGAGGGTCTTCCTTTTTTTTTATGTTACATTCCAGTTGTTCAGAACAGTGGTGTGCTTTGGTGTATGCTTAATATTCAAACATTCATTGGATGAGTAAATACATTGGTGTGTGTGTGTGTGTGTGTGTGTGTGTGTGTGTGTGTGTGTGAATAACAGTACAAAGTGTTAGGAGAAATGACTAATTATGTGAAGAGTGAATTGTTTTTCTATTGAGAACTAGAATTTACCAATTTTACAAATGAATAACCATTTACAGTATTTTTCCTATATGTTTTTGTTGAGTGTCTGCTAAATATGTCTGTAATAAGCAGGATTTAAACTCAAGTACAATGTGTTATAAAATGTACATAGCTAGTATTAATGTGAACTGGACTCATTTGTTAGGTAATTTGTGGTTAATGTAACCTAGCACTGGCTAATAATACTCTTCAGCTTGCTTTTGTAGCAGCAGATACACATTCAACCTTAGGACAAAGCCACAGTCTTTGTAAGAACAGGCTGTGAATTATATTTTTCAAAATGTCGGTTGCTTTAATTTTTACTTTGACTTATACTGTATATCACTTTTCATTTAAAACCATCTTTATTTTATTTTATTTTTTGTTTTGTTTGATCTTATTTTTGCAGACAGGCTCGAGGAGAGTGCACCCTCAGATAAGAATGTAGAGCCACCCTCTGCTCCACATAGCCATCCTCCGGAAGACCCTTTTGGTTCTATCCCTTTCATTTCTCACTCAGGCAAGTTACATGTGTGGCATCACTGTCCTTGAAATATACAAGAACAGCAGCAGCAAAACCGTATAGATTTAAAGAATTAATATACAGATGTTAGGCTCAGAAAGTAGAACACAGTAAGTTATGTGAACTATTAACCATCTTTGTCTTCCTAATGTTTGAACTATAGAGTTGTTATTGTATGCTGATTCACATGGTAGAAGCGTAAGTCTTATCACCAGCTATTGGGTTCTAGTTTTTAAAAAATGGTACATGAAAATATCTCCTGTGTTTAAAATACCAAAATGTTTTTATACTTAGCTTTTGCTTTAAAATGTGGTGTTTTTCTAGCATATCCATGCTCTTTTCTAGTCTTAATGATTTTGTATTTGGCACATCACTTTGTTTTAACTACTCTTCTTATATTCATTCTTGTGATTTCAGTTCAGAAATTGAATACTGATGCTATTCTAATACTAATAGTAATTTCAAAGTAATTGTCTAGTATAGCACACTAATCAAGATTGTTTCCAATTTCTGTCACACTCCATATTTTTTCTTTGCTGTTATTGAAGATAGTCTCTTGTCAGTCACATTTCTTCTTGCTTCTCTTCAGTTGTCAGTTTCATGGATGACATAACATCTTAACAGGGACAGATTGCTAACTGTGTATCTGTTCCATTCATTCTGTGCGGTTACTCACCCTGCTACAATCATAAGTTGAGAGTGCATTATTTTTCTTTAATTACATTTTGAAAATGAACCTTAGGATTTAGTGACTTGAGATCCTGATGCAGAAAGCAGTTTCAGGGTTAGCTCTTTGTTCTTCCACTGGAGTGCATCCCCTCCCTGGGTTTGCCCCTATCCATGCAAACCACTTCTGAGTGTCAAAGTCACTCACTGACTGCTCTTTTTTGCACACCACCCTTATTTTCATGTCGACTTAGGGATTTTGTAATTAACATTTTGTTCACAAATTTGAGCTTGGTTGACACTGTCATTTTGTTTAACTTTGTGTACATTCTCTGTTAGATTTGAAGTTTTTGGAGGGTTGGAGGCATGACTTATGTTTGATCTTTCCCGGTAACCAACCATGTAATGACTTGGTCATTGTATGAAAACATTATGGCTATTTAAAAGGCCCTCCTGAGTATGTTTTTTTTTTAAGTGAATAGTTTTATTAGAAAGGGGAAGCAAGGGGGAAGGAAAGAGAAAAGAGAGACAGAGAGGACGGAAGAGAAGAGGGAGACCCTCCTGAGTATGTCTTCATAGGTAGGATAGGTCTGATAAAAATGCCCTTACTCTAGAACTTACTCTAGAACTTGATGCATAGCATGAGCATTGTTAATACTGGAATGGCTTGATTTGGAAACTAAGTAAAGGAGCAAATGGGCCTAGGAGAAACGTGCCTGAGATGGAAGAAAAAGTGATTGCTGTGAGGACAATGTTAATTTGATGCTTTTCAGACTCAAAGTTTAATTAAAATAAAAATCTAAAATAGATATTGCTATTGGCCTAGATATTCGATGCTTAGAAATACTTGGCTGTGTATTATTTTTAGGTAAATCTAAGGCATGGGGGGCTATTTATTTTCTTCTAGTAGTAGAACGAATGAATCTACTGAAACTAAAACTACCTTTCCCTTAATCTTCAGGAAATAGTTGTGTGAGGGGGAAATCTCTAGTAAAAACATGCTCCATGAAGAAAGTAAGAGCAGTAAGCTTTGGAGAGTGAGCAAGTCCACTAACCATCATCCTTGTGTCTGCTAGATACAGTCTGAGTAAACTGTACAGGGACTACTCAATCAAGTACAACTATGAGCCAGAATGTTGTAATGCGCTCTCTCTCTCTCTCTCTCTCTCTCTCTCTCTCTCTCCCTCCCTCCCTCCCTCCCTCCCTCCCTCTCTCTCCCTCCCTCCCTCCCTCTCCCTCTCCCTCTCCCTCCCTCCCTCCCTCCCTCTCCCTCTCCCTCTCCCTCTCCCTCTCTCTCTCTCTCTCTCTCTCTCTCTCTCTCTCTCTCTCTCTCTCTCTCTGTCTGTCTCTCTCTCTCTCTCATCTATCCCTCTACTGCAGTTATTATTTCCATGATATGTAGGCCATGCTCAAAGTTGAGATGTTCATCTTATTTCTCCCTTCTCGTGCTGGGATAGCAAGCATGTGCCACCACAAACTGCATCCTTTTTATTTTAAAAGAGAAGAATTTGTTAGAAACTGTTAAGGAATGCTGAGAGCAAGAGAAATAGTATTTCACAGGGAAGAGCATACTACCTGGTTATCCAGTACCACATTACAGCCTGGCAGCATACTTAGAAGTAACATTGTAGAAACTGAGCAGGTTATATTTGGAAATAAATATGTATGCACATATACATGTATGTATGCAATAACAATGAAATAGACTGAATTTGAAGGAGAATGGGGATGGGTAACAGCCTTGTCCACAAGGCCTGCATGGTGCAATCATTTTCTCAATTGATACTCCCTCTTCCAGAACGATTGTAGTTGACATAAAGCTAACCAGCACAAGCTTTAAACTTAAGACTTTTAGCTGATTGGTTTTTATTTTACTGTGGACTCAAGATGGCTTCATGGTCAGGAGTGTATATTGCTCTTTCAGAGAATCTGAGTTTGGCTCCCAGCACCCTACAACTTGTAACTCTAGCTCTAGGGGGATCCAGTACCTCTGATCTCCATGGTCACCTGCTTTCAATGTCCACACACCGCACGCAGAAGCATATACATACACATAGTTAAAAATAATACAAATAGTGCATAGAGTTTAAAATGTCAAATTTAGCAAGAAAATCTTCCACAAGTGATCTTTCCCTCTCCCCTGTCTGTTAAAACTCCCCATAGATAACTTTTCACTTCTGGCACTTTAATATATCATGCTAAATTGTTTATTTTTTTGTTTAACCCCCCCCCCAAACCGGTTTTAGATGGCTTGTGTAAAATTCTTATTTTGGAACACATAGATTTAGATTAATTATACCGTGAGCCCTTCTCATGTGCATACATTCAATTGCATGTGTACAGTCATGTGCCAAACAACAGTGAAGGATCAAATAAATGGCTGCTATCTCCTCAACCCTGTTTCTGGGGCTGGCAGTGTAGTGTGGTTCAGTGGTAGAGCATATGTTTCATATGCACACAGCCCCGCCTTTGATCTCCAATACACATGTACACATGCCACATGTAAAAAACAAAACCCCAAAACATATCCCACAAATCTCTATGTTAGAGTTTGGAAATCTTCATTAATTGCTTTCCAACTTCCTCTTTGAGACAAGGTCTCTTGTCCAACCCAGAGCTCGCTGCGCTGTCTCTGGCTATCCAACCTGTTCTAGGTGTCAGTGCCCTGACTCCACCTTTCACCCGTTGGGATTTCTGGGGACTGCCATGTTCAGCCAGGTTTATCTGGACTCTGGGGATCTGAGCTTCTCTGGTCCTTACTCTTGTGCAGCAAGCAAGCACTTTACCTGCCATCTGCCCAGGCTAGGTACCGTTTTGAATGTGTCAACATCCCTCAACTCCCAGATTCAGATTGGGCATGCCACAGCTACACCCCTTTACTGCAAGGTTCTGTTATCTCTGGTATCAGTTCCTATGCCGACTCATTGCCATGAGTCCTTTGTTTCTTGCCATGCTGCTTATTGCTGTGATTTTTCTTTTCTTGCCTAGTTTATTGTGTACTCTATTAATTCATCTCCATTTAGAATTGGTTGCTTCATGATTGTCATAGTCTCCTAGTGGTTTCTTTTGCTTTTTAGTCTTCGTGGAAATTCCTGGATCTCTCCTGTTCCCCATCCCACTTCCCCCCTGTGAATAAAGCAACTACTCTCTTGTTTTTTTTTCTCGAGGCTGTATTCATGATAGAAATAGTCATGTAGCTGTACTGCCTCAGAAAACACACTGACGCTTGGTTGATAATTTGGGTGAGAAAATAATTCCAAGTTGCACAATTTTTTTTCTGTGATTTTTATTTTTAAAAATTTTTATTTTTTAGGTGGGTAGGGGAATCTCAGTTTGTAGCTCCAAACTGGCTTTACAGTTCAGACCCTCCTGTCCCAGCCTTCCAGGGGCCGGGATTTTCTTTAGAGTTTGGAGGTTCTCTCTTCACCTGTGCCATCTGCCAAGGTTATTGAGAAGTGCGATGCCTTCTACCCTTCCTCCTTTTTCTCCTTGGACAACTTTAGCATCTTAACTTGTAGTCTTCAAAGTACTTTGTTTTGATGGAAATCTTTTTTTATTAGTTACTATACTGGAGACCTAGTAAGTCTTTTCAGTCTGAAATATAGTTTTTCTTTTGTCTTTTTAAAAAATTGTATGGATATTGTGCATCGTGGGTTGATATTTTAGTTTAAAATATTTGCAATGTTTTTTCTATTTGCATATTAGAAGAAATAATCTTTATTTCCTATTATTTTTAATTGCAAGGGCTATCATATTTCTTAGATATGATATATTTTCATTTCTGGGAATACCTCATAGTTTTGCACATGTTTTTTGTCATGATTTTTCTTTGTCCTCCAGTTTAAGAATACCAGCGAATGAATGCCAGTCTTTTACTTCCCATAGTAAAGTGGACTTGACGAACAGAAGGAAGTCTGCTTGTTAGATACAGTCTTTCCTAACCTGGGAGAGTTATTTCACTTCATGCAGATGACTCAGTGCAGAATGGTGTGGGACAGTGGGGAGAGTGGAGACACATCCATGGTCAGGAGAAATCTCTACCATAATGTATCTTGGTCTAAAAAATATTGCTGGTTTCAGATTTTTAAAGGATTTTTACCTTATAAAGGATATAATCTTGGTTTCTGTTCTTACAGTGTCATTTTCAGGTTTTCTTCAGCTTTGTGGTCTTTTGAAGTATGTTGGGGAATGTTGCTCCTATACTCGGCAGGAGGTAGTGTCTGGTCCACACGTTTTCCCTTAAAATACTTAGAATTCTTCACCTGGGCTTCAGATTTTCTTGGGGGAAGATTTTGAAGTACGTTATGTTGCTAATACATGTATTCAAGTAC